GTCCGTTCGCTACCCTATATTTTCAAAACGGACAAAAAATAGAGCGGACAAAAACGGACAAAAACGGACAAAAAATAACAAAAATGGAAAGAACATTTAGATGTTTCCTCCTCTTCCTCCTCCACCTCCTCTTCCTCCTCCTCCTCCTCCTCCTCCTGGGTCCTCTTCCTGGGTCCTCCTCCTGGGTCCTCCTCCTCCTTCTCCTCTTCAGTCCTTCTCCTCCTCAGTCTTCCTTCTCCTCCTCCCTCTCAGTCCTCCTCCTCAGTCCTCCTCCTCAGCCATCCTCCTCAGTCCTCCTCAGTCCTCCTCCTCAGTCCTCCTCCTTTTCATCATCCTCTTCTTCTTTTTCAGTCCTCAGTCCTCCTCCTCATCCTTCCCCTTAGTCCTCCTCCTCCTCAGTCCTCCTCCTCAGTCCTTCTCAGTCCTCCTCCTCAGTCCTTCCCCAGTCCCCCTCCTCCTCCTATTCAGTCCTCCTCCTCCTCCTCAGTTCTCCTCAGTCCTCCTCCTTCTCAGTCCTCCTCCTCAGTCCTGATCCTCCTCCTCCTGGGTCCTCCTCCTGGGTCATCCTGATCCTCCTCAGTCTTCTTCCTCCTCCCCTCCTCAGTCCTCCTCCTACTCCTACTCCTCAGTCCTCCTCCTACACAGTCCTCCTCCTCCACAGTCCTCCTCCTCCACAGTCCTCCTCCTCATCAGTCCTCCTCCTCCTCATCAATCCTCTTCACCGGTCCTCTTTCTCCTTCTCCTCCTCCTTCTCCTTAGTCCTCCTCATCCACCTCCTTCCCCTCCTCATCATTCCTCATCAGTCGTCCTCCTCCGCCACCCCTCCTCCTCCTCAGTCCCCCTCTTCAGTCCTCCTCCTCAGTCCTCCTCCTCCTCCTCAGTTCTCCTCAGTCCTCCTCCTTCTCAGTCCTCCTCCTCCTCCTCCTCCTCAGTCATCCTCCTCAGTCCTCCGCCTCCTCCTCTTCCTGGGTCCTCCTCCTGGGTCATCCTGATTCTCCTCAGTCCTCTTCCTCCTCCCCTCCTCAGTCATCCTCCTACTACTACTTCTCAGTCCTCCTCCTCCTCAGTCCTCCTCCTCCTCCTTATCAGTTCTCCTCCTCATCAATCCTCTTCACCAGTCCTTCTTCTCCTCCTCCTCCTTAGTCCTCCTCATCCTCCTCATCCACCTCCTTCCCCTCTTCTTCCTCCTCTTCTTCCTCCTCCCCTCCTTAGTACTCCTCCTACTCCTACTCCTCAGTCCTCCTCCTCCTCAGTCCTCCTCCTCCACATCAGTCCTCCTCCTCCTCATCAATCCTCTTCACCAGTCCTCCTTCTCCTTCTCCTCCTCCTTCCCCTTAGTCCTCCTCATCCTCCTCATCCACCTCCTTCCCCTCCTCATCATTCCTCATCAGTCGTCCTCCTCCGCCTCCCCTCCTCCTCCTCAGTCCCCTCTTCAGTCCTCCTCAGTCCTCATCCTCCTTCTCCTCAGTCCTCCTCAGTTTTACTCCTCCTCCTCCCTCTCAGTCATCCTCCTCAGCCATCCTCCTCAGTCATCCTCAGTCCTCCTCCTCCTCAGTCCTCATCCTCCTCATATTTCTCCTTAGTTCTCCTCCTCCTCAGTCCTCCTCAGTCCTCCCCCAATCCCCCTCCTCCTCCTATTTAGTCCTCCAACTCCAACTCCTCAGTTCTCATCAGTCCTCCTCCTTCTCAGTCCTCCTCCTCCTCCTTCTCAGTCCTCCTCCTCCTCCTCCTCAGTCCTCCTCCTCCTCAGTCATCCTCCTCAGTCCTCCGCCTCCTCCTCCTCCTGGGTCCTCCTCCTGGGTCATCCTGATTCTCCTCAGTCCTCTTCCTCCTCCCCTCCTCAGTCATTCTCCTACTACTACTCCTCAGTCCTCCTCCTCCTCAGTCCTCCTCCTCCTCATCAGTCCTCCTCCTCATCAATCCTCTTCACCAGTCCTTCTTCTCCTCCTCCTCCTTAGTCCTCCTCATCCTCCTCATCCACCTCATTCCCCTCCTCGTCATTCCTCACCAGTTATCAGTCATCCTCCTCAATCCTCCTCCGCCTCCCCTCCTCTTCCTCAGTCCCCCTCTTCAGTCCTCCTCCTCAGTCCTCCTCCTCCTTCTCCTCAGTCCTCCTCCTCAGTCCTCCTCCTCCCCCTATATCCTCCTCCTGGGTCATCCTCCTCCTCCTCCTGGGTCATCCTGATCCTCAGATCCTCCTCAGTCCTCCATCTCCTCCCCTCCTCAGTCCTCCTCCTACTCCTACTGCTCAGTCCTCCTCCTCCTCCTCATTAGTCCTCCTCCTCCTCCTCATCAATCCTCTTCACCAGTCCTCCTTCTTCTCCTCCTTCTCCTTAGTCCTCCTCATCCTTCTCATCCACCTCCTTCTCCTCATCATTACTCATCAGTCATCCTCCTCAGTCCTCCTCCGCCTCCCCTCCTCCTCCTCAGTCCCCCTCTTCAGTCCTCCTCCTCAGTCCTCCTCAGTAGGGGGGGGGTCCAAGGGGAACTTTGGGGAGTTTTGGGGAACTTTTTTTTGGGGAACTTCAGGAAACCTGGGGGACTTTCCCAAAGTTCCCCAAAAAATTATCAATGAAACAAATAATTTTGGGGAATTTTGGGGAACTTTTTTTTGGGGAACTTCAGAAAGTTCCCCAAAATTCCCCAAAGTTCCCCAAAGTTCCCCAAAAAAATTATAATGCCAAACAAATTATCATGCTGCAAGTATCAACAAGTAAGTTAAGATTATACCTTATAATAACATACATGTTAACATTAATGGGTATTAATGTATATTAGAGAAATTTTGAATAATTTTGAATAATTTTGAATAATTTTAAATAATTTTGAATAATTTTGGGGAATTTTGGGGAACTTTGGGGAGTTTTGGGGAACTTTTTTTGGGGAACTTCAGAAATCTTGGGGGACTTTCCCAAAGTTCCCCAAAGTTCCCCTTGGACCCCCCCTCAGTACTCCTCCTTAGTCCTCCTCAGTTTTACTCTTCCTCCTCCTCCCCCTCCTCCTCAGTTCTCCTTAGTCCTCCTCCTCCTCCTCCTCCTCCTCCTCCTCCTCCTCCTCCTCCTCCTCCTCCTCCTCCTCCTCCTCCTCCTCCTCCTCCTCCTCCTCCTCCTCCTCCTCCTCCTCCTCCTCCTCATCCTCCTATTCAGTCCGCATCCTCGGTTCTCCTCAGTTCTCCTTCTTCTCAGTCCTCCTCCTCCTCAGTCCTCCTCCTCCTCAGTCCTCCTCCTCCTCAGTTCTCCTTCTTCTCAGTCCTCCTCCTCCTCAGTCCTCCTCCTCCTCAGTCCTCCTCCTCCTCAGTCCTCCTCCTCCTCAGTCCTCCTCCTCCTCAGTCCTCCTCCTCCTCCTCCTCAGCCCTCAGGTCCTGAGTCCTTCTTCTTCTCCTCCTCCTAGCCTCCTACTCCTCCTCCTCATCAGTCCTCTTTCTCCTCCTCAGCCCCCTCCTCCTCCTCAGTCCCCCCTCCTCAGTCCCCCTCCTCCTCTTCCTCACTTTCATCCCTCAATAATTTGTTCAATTTATAATTATTGTTGGTGTTATTGTTTACACAATTTATTGTTATACTAAAATGTTTTTAAGCGTATTTGAGTCTGACTCAAAATGTGCTCAAGAATCTTTTGGCTTAACAGAGTTTCACTCTCCAGTAATAATAATATGGAAAAGTTGTTACATGACATATTTCATAAAAAAATTCCCTTTTCATCCCTTTTTATGTTATTCTTAGTACCTAATTGAGTATTAAAAGTTTGAGAAAGGACCATGGTCATTAACCGGGCTACCCATTTCTGCAAATAGCCTGTTACAAATTGTGGAGAAAATTTAAATCAAAAGTTACAATTTTTGTCCGTTTTTGTCCGTTCGGTACCCTATTTTCTGAAAACGGACAAAATTGAACGGACAAAAACGGACAAAAAATAACATGAGCCCCCCCCCCCCCTAATGTCCACCAATGTCCGCTAATGTCCACCAATGTCCATCCAAGTCCGCCAATGTCCGTCCGGGTCCGCCAATGTCCGTCCGAGTCCGCCAATGTCCGTCCGGGTCCGCCAATGTCCGTCCGAGTCCGCCAATGTCCGTCCGAGTCCGCCAATGTCCGTCCGTGTCCGCCAATGTCCCAAAAAACACGTCCGTTGTCTCATAGAATCCAAAAAGGACAGGACATAGGCGGACATAGACGGACATGACACCCCCCCCCATGTGCCATCAATCCCTCGGATTGGCTGTGCTAAGCTGAGGACTTCATTGGGTTTAAGGAACCCCACTGTCGACACAGCCAAATTATCCCTGCCTATAGTAAATTATCCTGTCAAAACTTTTCGCCAATATTTGGCTAATTCGTTTGTTGGTAGATTATTGCTCACTTAACACTTGAAGGGGACGGTTAATAATTTGTTAAATTATCAGCTATTTTAGATTTAATAATAAGTGGTAACTATTTAATGCGATATGAATTTATCAGGAATATAGTAAAATTTGATCTATTAGAATTATCTATTAAAATTACCTTTGATGGAATGTTACATTTTCAAGCTCTGCCAATAGCAACACTTGATTTGACTGTTCTCTGCCAATTGCATCACTTGATTTAACTGAATGTATATATATTGTTTGAATGACCCTTTCTTCTCTATTAGGAATAACAATCATTGTTCTTAGTATAGAGGAGAAAGAGGATTTATTTACCACAAAACAATCAATACATAATATGTTTTATTCAAAAATAAATTCAAATTTGAAATTCAGCCATATACACTTATACACAGCCCGCCGCGCACACAGCCACACATTGTTGAGAAATTGTAGTGGTGTGGTGAAAATAGCAGATTTGGATGTAAACTTACAGCCTGTGCCTTGAATTTTCATTGAGCTACATTTGTTACAAGGGGGGTTTTTAAATATATTTTTGAAATTGTTACCGTTTTATTAAATTTATTAATTGACTAGTATGTATATAATATCTTTTATATAACCTTATATACATTGTTGGATAATGACCATTGCTGACACATTATTTTGTCTTTTTGATCAATCAACTTAAATTTAATACGATATTCACAGGATGGTCAAATTAATAGGACGTACCTCGCTGCGACGCTCTCCTAAATCGGAGCAAGCTAAGAAGTTTCTTAACAAAGGTGCCTCAGTGTTGTATGTTGGCTCAACAGATGTTTGCAATCCTTCATCACTTGAAGAAATGAACTCATGTATAACAAAAGTGCTAGAAGCACCAAATTTGTCAGACACAAAAATATTCATCAATTCGCAGGACTATTTGCGGGTTATCAATGCCAAGTCTGGAAAAGTTATTTTTTGTGTTCCAGTTGATGTCATCGTGAACAGTATTAAAGCTCAAGAAAAATACATTGTGTTTAGTGCTTCCACATCAATCAACCCAAACAGCAACACTATCAGTATGGCACATGTTTTCGAGTGCACCACAGAAAAACAAGTGGAAGACATTTATGATGCTTTGCATCGGACTATAGAGGCTGTACGCAGACGTGCAGACCTGTTAGAGGATGTCAGTAAGGTTGCGCCCTTGTTTTCAAAACTGAAATTAGAAAAACCATTTCCTAACAGAGACAGTAATTTTGTTACGTATCAATCAAATTTACAATCAAATATGAAGATGTCAGTGATTAATAATGATAGACAAGCTCAGGAACACAAACTTGCAGTAACAAACCATGCTCTATTTCGTAATGCATTTGAGTGTATGAAGCAAGGTAATCAAGAACGGTTGCATGCCTTGATATATTCTGACCTGGATATCCTTTTTGCTGATGATGCTGGTCAAACACTTCTTCACTTGTCTGCTCGAATAGACAAGATATCAATGTGTAAATTCCTCATGAATCATTGCTGTACTTCTGATGTAGAACGAGACTGCTTACGACTTGCTAAGGTATGAAAACTTGATATGATTAAATACATAAAATCCTTGAAGCAATATCTGCATCTGCTTTTGTGTTTTGTTTGATATCAATTACCTTAAACTCCAATCAAAATAACAGGACAAGGAGGGGATGACCGCATTACATCTAGCTGCAATATATGGTCTGAAAAACTTTGTCAAATTCTTGGCAAAAGATTTCAATGCAGTTAACATTAAAGATATCAAAGGAAGGATTCCACTCCATTATTGTGCAGGTGAGGCTTATCATTGTTTTTCAACCTTGTGAATCTTTTAAATACTACTTTGTGATAGTTATGATTATTTTTAAGTTGACTCTTTTAGCAATTAGACTGTTAGCTCGCTTCATAAGCATGTCATCTTTGTTCCAAAACTTTTTATGTCCTATAGCTATGCATACACTCCTTGATAGTTATCTTGTTCTAGTATCTTTGTTTCACACAATAGAGCATAAGTTTTGTGGTTTATCCACTGGGCTTAAATTTTGTGTTTAAGCTACCAAATTTTATTATTATTATTATTTATTGATGATCAGTTCTTTTAGTCTGCAGATTTTAATCTGCAGTCTCGACTGAAGCTAACAGACAGTGACTGTCAGACTATAATTGACAGTTCACTAGTAGCTGATGACAGGATTTGGGATTTTGATTGTTAAAATCATGCACGGCACACTTTGGTCTCAACCTGGATCAACATTCTTCTTGATAAACTTTTTTGGATGATTTTATACATTTTATACATTATACATTTTATACATTTTTTTGAATGATCTATACATCTCAGGTAAAATAATGCACCGTGAGATGACTCACATCTTGGTCGACCACGGATCTAAGATCGAGGAACCCGAAGTTAACGGTGTAAAACCAATCAGCATAGAACCTGCACTTTCCAAGATTCAAGAGGTATGCGAATGTCGAGGACTCTTTCACATGATATTTGTATCATTTACAAACGAGTTTAGAAGTCTGCCTTCTTGAAAATAACTAATGATTTAGCAACTATAATGTGAAAGTTTATCAAGACAACAACATTTTTCGTATTTTCTAAAACAACACTTCCATTTCAGTTGTCAGTATCAGGAGCGTTTGTGTTTATCAACAGTCTCAACTTCCTGGACCGTTCAGGAAAGAGAATAGATAGTGGTGTGGATATTGCTTGCTCTGAAAAAACCAGCAGCGAATCTGGTAAGATACTCATTACGCAGCTTGAATTCTTTTTTATTACTTTTAAAACTTGTCATTAAAGAGTGGTTAATATTTTTAAATGTGCTTATAAATGACATAAAGCCAGTCCAATTTGTTGACTTGACCAACAAATTTCGGCCGGGACTGAAGTGGTATGGAAAAATTTCGCCGGGCTTCGGGGCTTAGGTCAGCCTGTACTGGATACATGCATCTTGCAAACACTAGGCAAAATTTGTTGACCACTATTACAATGAATCAATCTTTTAACTGGGGGCAGAAATTTGAAATTATATGCAGTAGAGAATGCCTGGTATGTTCATTCTGCAACTCTGCACGGCTAATCACACGAAATAAAGGCAAAGACCGTTTTATATTGTTCCCCTGCAAAGCTCTCCCCTGACCAGCAGATTAACTGATATTGACCATAATAACTGGAAATTCGCCAATCGCTGTTACACAAACTTTGCTTTATAACACACGATGTCGCTGACTTTTAATTAGGGTTTCAGGCCTTGACCGTGCTCTATCTCTGTAATTAAATTTAAATGTAAGTTCCGGCAGTTTAAATTCTGTATTTTGTTTAGAAAATCACAGAAGTTACGGCCAAACCAGAGATTTCAAAACAAAATTTTTCGAGGCCAGGATGAATTTGTAAACTTGGTCCGGTTTCGGGTTCTCAAACGATCACTTCAAGAAGTAGATAATTTTTATCGGAGTTATTTTAAGTCCACAGTTCAACTTTTCTCACGGCCATAATTAAAGAAACACCGGTCACGTGACTCAAAATCTCCATTGCTCAGTGCTGCACGTTCAATATTCTTGATCACAGATTATACCACTCGACGAGATAAATTTCCTTTTCATCCGACGAGATAAATTTCCTTTTCATAGAAAAAAAATACTTTCCCCAGAAATCATGGTAGGAACGTCAGTTCACTCGACAGACAGTTGTTATAGCCCTCGACAGGACAACTCATTGACTTCTATTCCAGAACAAGACAGACTCAAACCTCCGCATTTTGGATCCTATTCCAGGTTAGTGCCGGGTGATTTGTTAATTAGTTAGGTTAATTATTAGTTAAAACATGAACTTTACTAATACAATTGTAATAACCGTCTGCTTGAGACAATGAGATTTATATTATCTGGTATTTTGGGTTCAAATGTGTAGTTTATACTAATGGAAATGTATAAATGCATTCTAATCTTATTTATAGATTTTAAGATTACTAGAAAAACTTAACGTTGCCAAATTAATCGCATGAAAAATATATTTCTTACAGTTTTGGAACCTTTTTTACAGTTCACAATACGAAGAAGACAGTTCCAGCTATGTGGGCAGTTCTGATTCTAGTCCAGTCTCAATTTCCGATAAAATGAGACATCTTCGAGAGGAGCTGTCCAGGATGATAAATCTTCTTATGAACCCGGGTAAACTTATATTAAGTTATATTTATATTAAGTTATATTATTATTAAGTTATATTAAGTTATATTTATAATTGGTAGAATATTTTTATCAAATAATTTTATTGATTAAAAACTATTTTTAAAATTTTTGTCCAAAGCTTGAGATAGCCTTATTAAATTTTTTTCTCCAGAATGTCACAAATACCTACTGCCGCAAATGTGCAACGAGAAGACCGCAAATAAACTGATAATAATTGCACAGTACCCCCTGCTAACAGACGATTGCGCTCAGGCAATCGCCCTACTACTTCACCATTTGTTTCGGGTAAATATAACTTATTATTTATATACTAATATATTATTGTTTAATATAAATAATCTATCAAATACATTGATGTTGGGTAAATTGAATTTCAGTGTTATGTTCTAAAAGTCATTTCATGGGAATTTACTTAGTTCATAGTTGTGCATAATTGTATGTTGCACTCATAAAATCACTACAATATTAATGCCAACCCAAGAGATGCAATGATGACATCAGGCCCTCTGAAGATATTATAATAAAAGCATTTTAGCACATTTTAGCACACTAGTGCTTCATTGAGCTCTTCTACATTTTCAATTTTCCTGTTACGAAAAATGTGGTAAATTTTACTCATTCTTTCCACATTCTTGCCGAACTTTATTCTCACGTATATACCACAAAGCATTAAATCCCTTTACAGCTTTACGAGTAAACTATTCAATATATAAACTTATATTATATTTGGTCCGTTCCAAAGTGTACCAGTTGTTTTTCGATTATCGAGAAATGTGCTGACATTGTAGCCATTCTAGTTTTTCTCTCTGTTCTGACCCGGGCAGCGAGGCTTGCCCTAATTCAACTGTATTGCTAAACTATTTACACGTTATTCGTTACGCTAACTGATTTCTTCAGAACTTTGAACTGCTACAAATTCCGAAAATTTCCCAAATCAGTTACAATTATTTACGGCACCCTTTGGGGTTAAGAAATATCTCAAATCTATTTTCCACTACGAACCTGCTACAATTTTGGCTTCGCAAATTTTTAAAAAGATACTTTTTCATGGATTCTGATTCACAGAATGTGCATTTCACACGTCTTCGTTCTAACCTTTTGGCTGAAGCCCTTCTAAACGACTACACGACTACCAATACTTTAACCCTGATTAAAGAAGAAATAGTAACGCGCAATAATATTCACATAATTAAATAATATTCACATAATTAAATAACATAATTAAACCAGTTTTGTGGCCGGGACGCCCGGTACGTCATATATGCGTTCCGGCCTGTTTAATTGTTAAATCAAATAGTCCTGGGAAAGGAAGTTGTAAGCAGACAATATTATGTACCTCCAATCTCTGTGTTATGTGTAATTAATACTTAACAATGTATTTGTGTGTACATCTTTCGACCAGATGATAAGAATGCTAAGTTAGCATTTTACAAAGTGAGCCTATTTTATATAAAAGCTCAATGATGGGGGTATTCATCAATACGCCGTACCAATGCTTATGTACATAGTACATTTGACGTAAAACTAATAAAGCCTTTAACAGTATTATTCGTTCTTGAAGAAAACCGGATAAGATTCCCCAAAGTTTTGACTTTTCCCTTTTTCAGCCAACTCAAGACAAATCTGGACACTCCATCCGGAAGTGTGTAGAAAACGGTCTCCTAAAAACACTGGTCAAGCTTTTGGACAGTCACATGACGATACAAGCGCAAGCTATCTCGATATTGGAGGAGGTTTTCTCTCACAACAAGGGCGAGAAGAGTGAAGTGGTAAGATTCCTGAAATTCCTGAGATTCCTGAGATTCCGTGTTTAGAGTCCTTCATTTTTGGGATAAATCAGTATTTCTAGTATTATCTGAACTCGGGTTTTAAGTTTATTGGGTTATCTTATTTATGGTAATGACATCGTTTCCTTCTTGTTAATATTACTGATAAATTTGTTATCCTGTTAAAATATTTCATTGTGTTTCAGGACTATATATCTGACTTTTCGGAGCTGGATCCGGATTTGCTTGTCACCCTTATACTTGAAAACGATTTACCCATGAGTAATGCTAAACAAAAGCTGGTGCAAAATGAGATGAGCTATGCTAGACGACTGCGGTCTCTTTCCTCTCCAAGTAAACACATTTCTGTAACTGATATGACTATTTCTGTAACTGATATGACTTATTACGGCTTATTATGTGACTCAATCGACGGATCAGTTTGTAAACCTCCCGTATAGAAAATGACGGGATATGTAACACGGGCCACGCCCAGTGTGATAGTTACCACTGACACTTCAGTTATACCTATGTTGCATTTGGTCACGAAGGGAAACACACAATATAAATATGAGGCTTGAATTCTTCGTAAAACTACATCATCAGAGCTTGTAAATCATTTGTATTTATACTTTGTACGCATACGTATACTTATATATATACTTATGTATATTTATAAGTATAACAAGTGAAAGGCTTAGTTGAGGTCCACAAACTTCAGATTGTGCATTGGTGACTTAAACTCGTTTTCATGCATACTATATAAATACTTACCCGCAACTCCAGGTGAGATAGGCGACAGTTTCAAGAGTGGGAACTGTTACTTCACCAAAAACTGGAGTAGGAGATTACTAATCAGAATACTCTCCCGGACAAGTCTGACGAAAAGAATGAGGGTACGTGCTTTACCACGTGTTTACCACGTGTTTACCACGTGTTTACCACGTGTTTACCACGTGTTTACCACGTGTGCACTACGTGTTTACCACGTGTTTACCACGTGTTTATCGACCTTTACGGGCTACGGCCATGGTCCACTATTTGATTACCTAATCAGTTCCTAATTGAACTTGTTAATTACAAATCAGCATAAGATTATTGCTGTGTCAATGACCCTGGTATTGAGCAGGTAATTAGCCGCTAATCACCTAATAACTTGCTAATTACCTCTAATCTGCAGAACAAGATGAATACCCCGCGTATAGTGAAGGAGCTGGTGGAGCTGATGAACTGTCCCACCATGGAGATCAGGGAACATGCGGTGTGCGCTCTGGCTAACATGGCCCTGTCAGCTGATAATCATGTGAGTATATTCGGGGACGGGGGCCGGGGGGGGGGTCTTCAGTATTTAAGAGTTCTATCTATTTTCATTTTTCAGTCATGGTATTGTTGAGAACGATTTGTGCTACATTATTTTATATGCCGGTAGATTAAACAAAGCTCTCTACGAAGGTTTGGAATAACCCATGTGACCCTGGTCTACCCACCTCAGAGAGGGATTGTGATTTTGTAGGAGTTGAGGAATCTTGTACTTCTAGGAATCTTGTATTTCTCCCCGACTAAACCGAAAGGAATGTGCCAGAACATTCCAACAGTTTTGCGTTGAGCTCTGCACGCGTCGTGTGCACTAACAGGGTTGCATGTGTGTACGCCCGGTTAATGCTTGGGTAGACAAAATACCTATCATTTTGTAAATACACACACGGACAGGTGACCTGCTGCTCTGCAGTCATTGGTTGATACTGTGCACGTGGGCGGTTAACTGCAAGCTCATTGGCTTAACACTCTTCTCCTGACCGGCAAACATTGCCACACTAATTATAACTGAATTAAAAGATTCGTGCAAACTGCACTTAAATGCACAAGCAGATAGTTGCTGCTAGTTTTGCTGGCGATCCTATTGGTTCGTTGCTCGTCACGTGGGTTGAATGCAGGGCCGTGATTGGTTGTCGGCGTACACCTGGGTGTGTTACGGTTTGTGTCTGTGTGCTTCGTTTACATCCAGTGTGTAGTGTGCTGTTCTAAACATGAATCGTTAAAAAGAGTTCCTCAAAATCTCATTGTAAGTTCTACGGTCTTCATTTATAATTCATCAGGGAATAGTGGTGTGGTTCATAAGTGATAAATATGCACAAATCTTTTTCATCAGAAAAATCTGACTTTTCATCAGAAAAAAATAAAAATCGATGGTCAATCATTAGTTAATTGTCCAAATATCCAACTTTTTGTGTTTGTCAATGATCTACACAAATTATGTTCATGGTTTGTACTGGGAAGATTTGAAATTGGAGAAAGTAATGACTCGATTGAAAAGTGTGAACTGAAAATAGAATATCTGTCGTACAATCTAGTTTTGTGAACACATAATTAGAACCGATGAAGCTCTTGGTATTCCCACTTTGGCAGCAAGCGGTTACATAATTAATAATACATAATTAATCACATAATGATTTAAAGTTTGAGGCTCCTCGCCAGTAGACATTCCCCCTGAGGCGTCCTTGTTTTGCATAATTCATACTGTTGCTAGGTGCACTCTGTTAGTAGCTGTCACTTCTTAGGTTTAAACTGATAAGTATGACATAATGGTTAGGATACGTCACATATCCATCAGACCTTTCCTATACTAATCATTTCAAATCTCTCCCTGTAGCTCTTACTGTACATGATTCGTTGCCAAGACAGCTAGCTTTCGATCATCTAGACCCCACAACAGTGCTAGAGGCTGACGTAATCCATATATTCTCAATAATAGTCACGTGATACCAGACAAAGATCACGTGGTTTGGCATCCTGCCAATAGTGACAAGTGGTGCAGTCACGGTCTGAGTGCTTCTCAATGACAAGCAGGACTGATGTTGGGTTGTTGCCAGAGAGAGAGAGAGAGAGAGAGAGAGAAAGTGAGAGAGAGAGAGAGAGAGAGAGAGAGAGAGAGAGAGAGAGAGAGAAAAGAGAGAGAGAGAGAGAGAGAGAGAGAGAGAGAGAGAGAGAGAGAGAGAGAGAGAGAGAGAGAGAGAGAGAGAGAGAGAGAGAGAGAGAGAGAGAGAGAGAGAGAGAGAGAGAGAGAGAGAGAGAGAGAGAGAGAGAGAGGGAGAGAGAGAGAGAGAGGGGGAGGGTGGCATGGTGCACGGATTGCGGGATTGTCGGTCAATTGAATGTTCAGGCCACAGGGTTGGACAATAATAAACGATATGGTGACTCGGGAATACAGTTTAGCTCTTCAACAGTGCGTGTTTTCACCTTCCAGAGATGATGAAAGATGTTTGAGAAAGAGCTTTGAAGTTTAAAGCTTGGAAGGCAGTGGTGTATTGTTACGCTCCACTTCCGCACGTGCCAAGAGATAAGAATGATCCAGAGCGTAATTCTGGGATTATATCACCGTGAGAAATTACCTCCCTGATATGATATGAGTAGCAAGTTGCTCTCCTTCTCTTATTTTAACTGGCATTTCTTGTACTGGAAGTATGATATTCTTTCTACAGAATTTTACGCGTCAATTTTTCTGGAAAAGTGTGATATTGATATCTGGAGCTACAATATTCTCGCTGCAGAATTTGACGTGAGAAAAACAACGATATACACGTTTTAGTCAGATGTACGGGTTATATTTAGAATTCTCTAGATCTGTAAATTTATAAACGATTAACTTGAACAGTGTATTGAAGGTGTTGCTATCTGTTGTCCATCTCTCTTGTGATTAATTGTGGTTTTGATTACTAGCCAAGTTACAAGATGACTAGTTGTAGTACTGGTTGTATGTGAATATGTGAGTATGGAAGAGAAAAGAAGATTGAATATACAGATAGGGTGATCACAAAAAAGATAATATGTATATAGAATAGGACTCAGCGTGAGGTACCTTCTAGAAAAAAAAACATCTCATTTAACAGTACACAGTGTATACCTGAACATTGGGTTCAATTTACTGTTTCTTTAAAAACCTGTGCTACAAAGTCGTTCGTGACTTTTACAACCTAAAGTACCTGTTTATCCTCCACTTGTTCTGATTAGGTTTGTGGTAATCTGTGTAACCACCCCATACAATGGTATCAAATACCTCCTACATTCCACCCAACTAACCGGACCCCACCTAGATCACCCTCTCTCTCTAACCAGTATATAAGTATTATATTGTACACGAAAATATTTACATTGTGATGTGTGTAAACTGTAAGTGTGTTACTATACAGAGTATACACGGTATGTTACGTGCTGTGTTATTATGAAGAACCTGATACCGTGGTAGCTCATCAGAACACACGGGAATCACATTATGGGGATATATTCAACTTTATGCGCATTACGGTGGGGTGTTAGAGAGGGGGGGGGGGGGGGCCGGGGGGACCAGGAGTAAGTACCTTAATGTTCTAAAATATGCCAATTTTATGTGGTAAAATACTTGCCCCCCCCCCCCCGGCCCCCCTGGTATATATACAAGTGTGTAGTTTAGTAACTTGCACATCATTATATTTACGTAAGGAATGTGTTTGGAAAAGGGGTGTGGCCCAGTGTTTTGCTTGACAGGCAGGCCGCGTTGCGAGCACAGCTACTAGTTGGAAAAGGGGTGTGGCCCAGTTTTTTGCTTGACAGGCAGGCCGCGTTGCGAGCACAGCTATTAGTTGGTGGTTTTGTTTTAGAACTCCTCCTCGTGTTGTTATCAACTCCAGCATGATTTAGTTGGGCCATTGCCACCTGGAAGAGAGGGAGGGGACAATGTTATCATGTTAACGGGGTGTTGCTCTAACAGCGGACTGTGAACTTCTTGTGAAGTTGTGGGATTGTTATTTGGGAGGAGGAGAATCTTTTAGGGGTTCAGTTTAAGAACCTCATGTAAATTTCAAAACTTTTTAGGAGTAACACTTATATTATACCTTTGATAATCTGTTGAGAAATTGGTGGGCACTCAACGTTTTAAAATTATCATGGGGCCCTTAAGTCTCATCAAAGACCTAGTTGCGATAAAGTTCTTCAAAACTGCTTTGTTTTCTAGAGATTTTACTTTCCAAGAAATAGTGCTAAATTTGATTCGTTGCCAAGCAAATTTTATGACACATAAATCGCAAATTGGCTCTTATTCTGAGAATTCTCGACAAATCCCCATTATTTTAGCAGTCAAGTTGAACACAGCTTGGCAATGGTCCAATTTAGTGAATTTTCTGGCACATGTCCAGCTACTCTTCTCTAAATTACAATCAAATACGAAACCAATAGGGCTGGGTCTTCTCTTATTTTGGCTTCCGGAAACAATTTCACCGCAGTTTCGACGCGTTTAAAGAAAAACAGTATACCATAACCCGTTCCCGTATAACCCCAAAGCTATGTGAAAAATAAGAAACCACATAGCTCAGGTATAATATAAATGAGGGAGTAGCCATTGAAAGAGGGTGGGGTGCGGCCACACCTCTCCACCTTCTTTGTCAGGTGAATTAGGCCGCACAATACCAACCACCACGAAATGGCCATCCACTCTCCAGTTGGGTCACAGCCAGATATAATTGCTGTTTTGTTGAATTTTCTGCTGAATAGCCCGGGTTGATCACGTGGGGGGACAGCACGTGGTCTGGACTTGTGTTGTGCAGAATCACGGATAATAAGCCTGTGATGTTGTGATATGTGTGTGCAGAGGTTGGGTCGGTTTATTGTGCTGCGTGTGTCTGTGCGTGTGTGTGTTTGGTCGTGTAATGGTTTGCACGTGCAGAAATCCAAGTGGCAGGAATGTGGAATGTGGAATATGGAATATCAGTGTAAAAGTATTGCCTGAAATGAGCCAAACTGCCTGAACCAATTTCTGCAGAACTAACTTCTCTCAGCACACAGGCATTATACCGTGCATTGTGCATACTTTTATAAAATAGACCAGACAAAGGCAGTCAGTTTATCAATGTTATAATATTATTATAGTCCCTGAGTCACATGACGTATACTTTGAGTGTCCTGAAAAGTATTTCCGTATACTTAAACCATTACAGAGCATAGTACGTGTCGTCTAAATTGGTTAGTGCGGGTCAATACCATTTCACACTCATTCGTTAACCTGTTATCCTAACTATTATCGATCGTAATTTATTGATCGTAATTACCTCTAATTAAGTTATCACCTCTCAATCTCGTTATTTATGTAACCGGAAATGAACATCCCCTCGTTATCGATGGGGTGTACACACACCGAAATAGGCAGCCATAATCACAGAGAAATTATCTGTGGAGATGTCAAACCGGTTCCTGTGTAATCTCCCTTTCACCACTCACTGGACCTCTGTTATCAGAAGATCTGTCAGATGTTGAGAGAGAGAGAGAGAGAGAGAGAGAGAGAGAGAGAGAGAGAGAGAGAGAGAGAGAGAGAGAGAGAGAGAGAGAGAGAGAGAGAGAGAGAGAGAGAGAGAGAGAGAGAGAGAGAGAGAGAGAGAGAGAGAGAGAGAGAGAGAGAGAGAGAGAGAGAGAGAGAGAGAGAGAGAGAGAGAGAGAGAGAGAGAGAGAGAGAGAGAGAGAGAGAGAGAGAGAGAGAGAGAGAGAGAGATACTAGGTTAGTGATAAGTTTACCAACCGGAAACTACCCAACAAACCCAGGAACCAGGATACTTTGTTGTTTTACAATGGGTGGCTTTCGTTTAGGGTCTAACCCTGGTCGTGGTCCTAGAACATTGAACCTGGTGGGCGCTCATTACAAGTTCTGAAGGCTAATTAGTAATTATTGTTTATTTTCTTCCAAACAATGCCCTAATTCAGAGATTGGACAACAATTTTTCTCCTTGTGGTAGTCTTTTTAAAAGGAAAGGGGACATTGATCAGAGGACGTAGTAACTTTCTAAAGACGTCATTTAATTCTGATCAGGATGAGGCATTCTGATTACATTAGTCATTATATTATGACGGCGGGATGATGAGACTGTGATTGCAATAAATAGTTGATTGCTGAGTATTCTTATACAATATTCTAACTAATCATCCACTCACTTCATGAGTTATGAAACACCAAAAGTTTCAGCACATGTCAACAGGGTTGAGTTATACTCAGATGTAAGTCCCTTGACGCGATGTTGGAATGCGAACTGCACGTGCAAACTGCAAACTGCACGTGCATACTTAACTGGGGATTTAATTCCTTTAATCTCCATTTTCGCAGACCTTGTTACTATCAACTTATCAATAACCCAATTAATCAATTAGTTAACGAATTAATTAACGTTAATATATCTTCCCAGGATATTCTGCTGGAGCATGCGATAATAAAGAAGTTTCGAGATCAAGTAGTTGATAACCACCACGTACCGGTCATCAACTACCACTGTACCCGGGGCCTGGTCTACCTGGGTTACTCAGACGAGGCTTGTCAGTATGTCTTCGAGCACAATCTCAAGGTAAGCGGAATGTTTTGTTTTTTTGTTTTGTGTTTGCTGTTTTATTTTTGGTTTTAACGGTTTTGATGGCTCGCAGAGTGCTTCATTTCAGGCTAGGATGTGTTTGAAACATTCTTCTTTGCTTTTCTCATTGGTAGGCACAACGTCGTTTGGTGGTGGTTCCATGATTATTGTGTGTTTAGATTCCGTTCAGATGTTATTTGTACTTCGATCAGTTGTACAGTCCGAAGTTTATTTTGACCACACCGTCCGCGTCCTTGATCCCTCGGAATTGTAAATTATTAAAATATTAATAGTTGATTTTGTAGGAAATCATTGAAATACCTGATTATCCTAATTTAGCTGTACACCACTTTATGGTTTCCCCTAATTTTCCGTTCTTTCCACAAAATTTGACGTCATCCGAAAATTGAATTGTGGAACACAAAAATATTCGGGTGTATTTGAGTGCATTACACAACAAAATGTATTAAAAAGTACTAATAAACATACCGCACCGCGGTGATAAACAAGCCAGTAAGATAAGCAGTGTTTGTTCATGTTCCGGCTCTTACCACTACCGGGCACAACTTCCTTCAATCCAGTTCACACAGAGAACTACAATTATCAGCCGATATGGGAGTGAGTTATGTCAGGGTTATATTTGCTCTTTCTCCCTGTTAGTTGTAACAATCAATCAGTGGCGGTGTTTCAAACGGAACAAGCTCGCGTGTCTCGTGGATTTGTAGTAGACCTTACCATGGTGTTACCATGGTGTTACCAAGGTATTACCAAGGTGTTACCAGGGTGTTACAGACTCTGTCTGGGTCGGGGGTATACGGAGCAAAGGTCACACTTTTTCTATCAGCTGTCAGATTTGTATGGACAGTAAACTGTGATTTCTACAGAAACTGTGATTTCTACAGAATTAGTCACGTGTACAACAACACTATCAGATTATTGTGGCGGTTATCAATTAAATAACCGCTGGATTCCGTTAAAATACAGAATGGTTTAGACAAGGCTATCATATCCTCACAAATGCGGCTAATTTGAAAGTTTGTCCCGGAAATTATGCCACATTATACTCTGAACTAATGCCCGGAATGCTCACTGAGTCTTTATGAGAACTCTTTAGTACAGAATTTGAATTCCTGGCATAGATTCTACTAAAAAAGTAGATTCGTGTCTAGATCCTTCCTTGTCTGACAGGCATCCAAGGAATGCAGTGAGATTGCTCAAGTAGTTGATAGCCCAAATAGACAGCTTAAATAGACGTATCAACACGGGGTACTGATACAGAAGTATTGTGAGATACTGAGGATTAGTTCTGACTTACCGCCGTGTCAAGTGTGTTACACTGCCTAGACAGAAACAATTTACAGTTGTGGACTACGGAGTTGTGTACACCCTTAATGTATAATGTATGTTGATGTAAAATGTATATTGTATGTTGATGTAAAATGTATATTGTATCTTGTTATGTTTGCTCCGCAGTTCCCGCTCAATGTTAGGTATCAATGAAAGAATCAGGTTAAAAATAAATTTGACGCCATGTTACCGTCTATTTCAAAAGCAGGGAGATTTGTAAATACTTCGCAACCAGTGAAATTCTCCCATTCTTTGACACGTCAATGTATACATACAGTGAATACACTCACACAAGTTCAAATGGTATTATGAATAAATTACTATTCACTTGGTAACAAGTTTAGTCGGATGTGTGGTTGGGAGTCACTGCAACACAACAGTCACTGCAACACAGCAGTCACTGCAACACAACAGTCACTGCAACACAACAGTCACTGCAACACAACAGTCACTGCAACACAACAGTCACTGCAACACAGCAGTCACTGCAACACAACAGTCACTGCAACACAACAGTCACTGCAACACAACAGTCACTGCAACACAACAGTCACTGCAACACAACAGTCACTGCAACACAGCAGTCACTGCAACACAACAGTCACTGCAACACAACAGTCACTGCAACACAACAGTCACTGCAACACAGCAGTCACTGCAACACAACAGTCACTGCAACACAACAGTCACTGCAACACAACAGTCACTGCAACACAACAGTCACTGCAACACAACAGTCACTGCAACACAGCAGTCACTGCAACACAACAGTCACTGCAACACAACAGTCACTGCAACACAACAGTCACTGCAACACAACAGTCACTGCAACACAACAGTCACTGCAACACAACAGTCACTGCAACACAACAGTCACTGCAACACAACAGTCACTGCAACACAGCAGTCACTGCAACACAACAGTCACTGCAACACAACAGTCACTGCAACACAACAGTCACTGCAACACAACAGTCACTGCAACACAGCAGTCACTGCAACACAACAGTCACTGCAACACAACAGTCACTGCAACACAACAGTCACTGCAACACAACAGTCACTGCAACACAACAGTCACTGCAACACAACAGTCACTGCAACACAACAGTCACTGCAACACAACAGTCACTGCAACACAACAGTCACTGCAACACAACAGTCACTGCAACACAACAGTCACTGCAACACAACAGTCACTGCAACACAACAGTCACTGCAACACAACAGTCACTGCAACACAACAGTCACTGCAACACAACAGTCACTGCAACACAACAGTCACTGCAACACAACAGTCACTGCAACACAACAGTCACTGCAACACAACAGTCACTGCAACACAACAGTCACTGCAACACAACAGTCACTGCAACACAACAGTCACTGCAACACAACAGTCACTGCAACACAACAGTCACTGCAACACAACAGTCACTGCAACACAACAGTCACTGCAACACAACAGTCACTGCAACACAACAGTCACTGCAACACAACAGTCACTGCAACACAACAGTCACTGCAACACAACAGTCACTGCAACACAGTCACTGCAACACACAGTCACTGCAACACAGCAGTCACTGCAACACAACAGTCACTGCAACACAGCAGTCACTGCAACACAGCAGTCACTGCAACACAGCAGTCACTGCAACACAACAGTCACTGCAACACAACAGTCACTGCAACACAACAGTCACTGCAACACAACAGTCACTGCAACACAACAGTCACTGCAACACAACAGTCACTGCAACACAACAGTCACTGCTGCGTAGCATCACTATATCCTGCCCTTATTTACGGGGCTGTAGTCATATCAGTACATTACACCACCAAGTAATCTATATCGCACATTATGGCCCGGCCACTACACGATATTTTAATGTTATAGCCCAAGAAAGGCTTCGCTGGCGCCTGAGATGGCCCCCTTCTACTGGCAACCTTTAAATTCATAGAGCAGATTTACGGCTCCTGCTGGATAATGAATGAGACCAAGTGCAGTGCAACCACTGACCAAGTGCAGTACAAGCCCTGACCAATGCAAGTGCAGTGCAAGCCCTGACCAAGTGCACTGCAAGCCCTGACCAAGTGCACTGCAAGCCCTGTACTACATTTCAATCTACTTTCCTGTTTGTCAGACTTAATCGGGATGGCAAACAGGACAATTGAAATATAATTTTTCTGAAAATTCTTGAAATTTCCGATCGAAATCCGGCCGAGCATCTAAACCGGACTTGAACCGAAACAGGATATTGAAGCCGAATTCAGCCGGATATCCGGTCGGTTCCTAATCTTGCGATTGGGAGCTCTGAAACACTAATTCCCTTTCCAAGTGATACCCCACCAGCCACAGCCAAGTTGAAATCTCTGAAATGTATTTCACTTTCACTTTCACTTTCATGCCAGCCGCTAAACAGATGCTATCTGCCAGGGACAAGGTATCGAGGAGGACCGACTCTGGTCGAACAAGAACGAGATGTACAACCATCCTGACCATCATTTTATCCGAGCTGCTACTTTGGAGGACATCATTGTTATTATGACAAGCGTAAGATATTACTTATACATAGTTGTTTACTTTTAACTTTTTAACTGTATTTACACTCAACACTGTCAAGTGTCAAGTCAACCATTTTGGAGGGCAGTTTTTCAGAATTCGAAATTTTCTGAAAACTAACTTTCACCGGGTTTCACAATTATTTCACATGGTTTGATTTTTAACACCGTGTTTTTGTATCACCAATATCTTTCACACTACATTACACTATACTGTGTGGTTAGTTGCTGGTTGTTACTGGTGTTAATTACTCTGGCCCACCCTGTTTTTTATAATATGATGCACAACTAAAGCTTGTGTGAATGTTTGCACATTTACACTGCAAGTTATGATAAACAAATGTGGCGGATGCTTGGATGTACAAACCAACACATTTGCCATTTGCCATGAATTTGCCAAAGCTATGTAACAGTGTAACAGTTAAAAGTGTAATAACGGTTACCCCAATAGAGGTAAAGTGGGTGCCCCAACATAAAAATTAAAAAAATTTTAAAAAACGGTTACAGTGACACTTGTTAAACATTGACAGAATATTTCAATATAGGGCGTGACCGAGCCACAATTTAATTTATTTCTGAAAACCGATTTATACACGGCTACATGGCAGGGCTGTGATAGGTCCAGGAGCCAGGTGTGGTTGTTAGTATTAGTGTGCTATTAAGATTACGTAAGTTTGTGTTCAGTTCGTTTGTGCTCTAACTACCGAAACTACGTCACACAAGTAAACAATAATGGGCTAATAATGTGTTTAAATAAACAACAAAGATATTGGAGATGAATAAGGAGAATAATGTACAGGTAGCTTTCGAAATGCGTCATCACATACGTCACACATGTGATTTCCACAACATAATGTTGCCAAGTGCAACATAATAACACCAATGGTACAAGTTACATTTTTATGATGAACGCGATTATTCTTATTCCAACGGACGTGGGTTATTATGTTGAATTTAATCAACCCACAATTAATTCTAAAAATTGCATCAACTGCTGACCTGCCCATTGAAGGTAACCATGTTTACTACAAGGGATGTGATAGCGTATCAGATTCTAGCATCCATCAGATCTAGAGCTATATAATATAATTAGCAACAAAATACGACCCTGTGTTCTACATACCAAGTTATATTACCCTAATTAATATCCAACTAATTAACATATCCCAATTACAGGACCCATCCCTCCTGTGGAATAGTATACCACTGAGACTGTCCTGCAAGCTGGAGAATCAGAACGATATGGGGGTCAAGGATAACGAGATTATTAGATTTGTGTTGTCCCTACACAGAACCTTCGCTGATACGATCGTCTTCTTTCGGCTCCTAGTTCACAGATTTAGGTTGGTTTATTTACATGTACAAATTTATATAATGATGCTTTTTGGTTATTCTATGAGAATTATATGTGTACTGTGGAATGTGTTTACATCTTTTGGTTCAACTGAAGATTTTGATCATTTATAAATTATCAGAATTTATTTATGAATGTTAGAATTTATAAATGATAATAATACTTACTAAGATGGGCCAACAACGATTTACCGCGGATGTTTCCTTTCCCCCAAACTCCGCGGTAAATCGTGGTTTAACTGTACATATAACATAGTGATAGCCAACAACGTCCACTACACCGTGTGGCGTGTATCTGAATAATTGTACAAATGTAAAGCCAGGGTCCTCCTTAGACCTTATTATATAACCGATAATTTGGAGGATATCAAAATATCAAATTACGTATCGACGCGCCCTGCTGTTTGGTATTTACTGCATAAACCAGTACCACTGCCGACATTTACGTCTAAAATATACGAGTATGAGGCCCGGGTAACTATACACCGTGTAATAAGATTGTTGGTATGTAAGGCCTGATTGGAATGTTGGTGCTGCTTGAGTTAGACATAGCGAATTATCTCAGTAATCGTGTCGAGTGTATCAGTTATTAGGCGTTCTGGGGTTTTTACTTCAGGAATTTTAACTACGCTTGGGGATGGGCTGCATAAAATAACAATAATGTGGTTTTCTTATTTCTGCTGAATAAATAAATAGAAAATCACATTTACGAAAAGTGATTCTAAACCTAATGCCGAATTTTAACCCAGGTCACGATTCTCCGTATAGTAGATATAACAATAGTTTTGCTTTATAATCTGGTATATATTATAAACCTGGCATGTAACCCTGAGAGTTCAGCGAAATTGAAGGCCATATTTTCCAGCCTTTACTACAAGAGTGTAAATAAATAAATAAATTCTAACATTTATTACACGCTTCGACATTAAAATATACCCAACAAAGATGTACATTTAAGTCATTCAAGCGAGACTTAGTGTTGAAAAACCAAGATTATGGACTTTTTTATCAGTTCAGATTTTATGAACATGTGTAGTACCAGAGAGTACCCGCAACAGAATATATTACTGTAATCTTGCTAGTTCTCCTTTCCAAGGCCCTAGGCCTTAGGCCAATTTTAGTACTTCAGAACAGAATATTGAATAAATTATTGAATGCCTCTCCGACAGGCCTATGGCCCCCTTTTTGTAGGCTCTGGCGACTAGCCTAGGCCAATTGTAACCTGAACATAAGCATGAGTTAGTGAATGTACATTCTAGATCAAGTTCCCCTTTCATACTAGGCCTTTGGCCTAGGCCAATTAAAATCTTCACATTTGCTTAACCTAAATCTGCAGTAAATCCAGCGTATACACAATAATGTACGGTATAATACACAATAATGTACAGTATATTACTATACATAGTGTCCCCTCTCACCAGAGACCCTGCAGACTGCATAGTTTGCAGCTGTTGAGCGCTGCTAGGCACCACCATGAGGTCAGCTCCCAAAATAACCTGAGGAGGAGACCTTGCCTTGTAGTCTAGTGGGGCTGGTGTAATTAGCGGGTATTATGTGTGGTTTTATGTGTGTGACATGTCACCTTCAAGTCACGTGGGTTGTCATGTGATTGTAGTTGCGAGCTAGATCACTGATTTTATATTCACCCTCTACTTTGATCCCCACCGCCCCCTTGAAAGCTCGTGTAATCTACTTTGGCTAGATGTGGGTAGAATCGTAGATGTTGCACAATTTAAACTCGTGATATGTTCGAATGATGATGTAACAAGGTGATGACTGTAAGTGTAATGATGAAATATATAATACTCAATACACAGTCCTCTTGTTGATAATAGAGCTGCACAGGAATTTGGAGGTAGCTGTAAAACGTACCATGTGGCGAGGAATAATTATATGACGTCATCTTTTCAAGACTCTGAGAAAGACGAGGAAAAGTTAGAGTGGGGTGGTTTTGATGTGGTTGTGTGACGCTGGGGAGGTTGATGAACAATAAGTGGGGGTAAGAGGGATATTAGAGGTCAGTGGAGCTGTGACGTCACTTTGGAGCTGTGACGTCACTTTGAGGGGAGGTGTGGGATGTTCAGGTTGCGCAACGGAGATAAAGAGGTTTCTACGTCATTTGTAGAGTGTTGCGTAAAGGATCTGAACTGTTCAAATTATTACCACAAAGGTGTGATAGTTGCGATGGATTCAGAAATAAATAACATAAGTAATTCATTCTTGTCGGAAGCTTATATTATTAAGGTGAAGCTATGTGAGAAGTGTGGGATATAATGCGTTGTAAAGTTGTAAGCAGTTGCATTTCGGAGGGAAACGAAATGATGAGCGCGTTTATCATTTCGTTTCCATCCTAAATGCAATAAACGGTACGATTGGGCGATTTTATACTCACGAGACTAATTTTATGCGGCTAACTTTTCGCCATTGAAGTTGAACTGATGAAATATAGAACCTGACTTTTGATAATATTCCTCTTTTTTACAACCCAACGAGTTTTTAACGATTTTAGGCATTGACACTAGCGAGCAGCAACAAATGGAACTTGGCATTAAAATATATTGACTCTGTCACACTTAAGTTCCACGGCCAATTTTTCACCAAGTTAATATGCTCGAACAAAATCGCTTCCTCAATAAATGTGTTTAAATATTTTTAAATTTTTGTGAAAATGGTTTAATATTTCTGTTTTCAGCGATCCCAATGTGTCTCCAGCTAAGCGGTACCAGCAGGATATACCACCCGTTCACATGAAAGTGTGCAACGTTCTTTGCATATGGATGGAGGTAAATACCACTTTCTTATTTGCGAATATTCCACACTAGCAAAATATGGCATGATAATACCATGTATGTAAATTTCATTTTTGAGTATTATATAGTTGTTTGAGTATTATATAGTATATATAGTTTTGGGTGCTTTCTAATATAATATTATATAATAGTATGATTCGCTCTAAAGCTTTCGCTGATATGATATTATTATTGTGAAACTTTAAAAGGTCAATTTAGCTATACTTATAAATATACTTTTGGGTCCTTGGTGTAACATTTGAATTCTTTTGTCAATATAATGAACTATGATATAAAAGTTTGAAATGTGTAGATATTCAAAAAATATGTGCTGCTATGATCGGCTATTACAGTGTAAAAATGGCTACATGCGGCATGATGCACTGACTAAATGTTTCCAAACCCATGAGGACTGAGGAGAATCATCTCGATCACGAACAATTGAATTCGAACACGCACGTATGATATTGATCACGCACGGAACTGATCACGCACGAAACATGTTGCCTATATTGACTAAAAAGCCACCTCTTTGTTCAAAAACGTGATGTAAAATTGTGGAGAAATGATAAATTGCACCAGATGGTTTGACTGAAGTTCAGAAAACAGCTAAACAATTGGCGACTGATTAAATCAGTAGAAATCGGGCCCCACGTACTCGAAACACGATACAAATAATTAACTTTTAAACATTAGATTTAAATTTCCATTCAGGAAAACAACAATTAAATAAATTGTTAGTTTCGTCACTTAATTACGATAGAAACAATGCCTGGTTATGTACCCTATCCAATAAAGTCATCTTAAATCTGCAAGTTTTCCAATGCAGTAAAGTCTGAACCACTTCGCCAATTTCCAGGCCATTCCAAGAATTTTCATACCATTCCAGGAATTTTCATACTATTTCAGTCCATTATTATTATCAACCTAGGAATTATGAATATTCGTGCCACTGAAGCAACTTTCGTGCCACTTCAGTAATTTTCGTACCACTCCAGGAATTTCCGTACCACTTTATGGAGGAACCAGAGATGTTTAACGAACTTGAGGTGTTTGTAGTCGGTTTAGAGGACTACGGACCAGTCTACTACGATCTCAGAGATCAGGTACCATGTTTTGTGATTTTTTAGGTACCACGCTGTAAATCTGCTTTGTGGATTGGGATTATACCAGTAGGTTCTGTGCTGCATTATTTTTGGGTTTTAATATGGTATGGAGTATGGACTATGGACTGTCGTAAAAGTTCGAAACACCGATCGAAACACCGATCGAATGTAAAGTGTAAAATTATACGATGAGTATTGAGTATGTGAGAGTATACAATAGTATTGCCCATTTCGAATGGTTCTCATTTAGCTACACAACAATCTCCAAACTGGATCTACTAAGATCTGCTAACGTTAATTAATTAATTAGCACTGGTTAATTAATCTGCTAACGTTAATTAATTAATTAGCACCGGTTAATTAATCTGCTAACGTTATCTTCTTCCAGATAGCTCTGAAGAGCCAAACAGTGCAGATAGTTGACAACGGTCACACGCTAGACAAAGTGACTCACTTGGACCACTATAAACACTGCCGTGCTTCTCTTATAAACGAGGTATAAACACGACTATAAACACTGCCGTGCTTCTCTTATAAACGAGGTCCGATTGTATTTACTGAAGTATCAAATTTAAAACGCGTGATTTTATTGAGATTTTACTCTTGCGTTACGAATAAAAGTTATTCAAAAAACTTGGTTTGTTGTTTTGTTCAGTTTGTTTTTTTCAAGTTCTACGGCGTCTTTTCTCCATCTTTCTTAACGGTCTGATCACGGATAAATCATAATCATCAAGTTGATTTATCAATTAATTAACTAAAATGTTGTGTTTTTCCTTCAGGAGTTTCCACTGTCCGTAAAGACAGTATCTTGGTTATCTGCTTTGAGGGGCGTTATAGAGAAAGCTAATCTTCAGGAACCACCCCAGAGCTTTTTCAGGTAAGTCATATTATCACAACTTAAAATGGGTGGTTACACAGAAGTTTTTAACTTAAGTTTAAAACTGTGACCTCTCAAGTGCTGTTCCAAATACCACACTGTACCAAATACCAGACCACATTTTATTCAGACTCCACGTTGATACTGTACATTTGTACGTCACGCTTGGTACACACTTACGTCAGTCAAATTGTATTTCTCTTCTTCCCCAGATTAAATTCTATTCAAACCTCCCCTTAACATCTCATCTTATCTTATCTCTCTGTCTTATCTTATCTTATCTCTCTCAGATCGATCCTGAGTTTCAAGGAGCGGGAACTAACGACCAGACTAAAGGCGGTTATACCACCCAGCTACCAGGCGCACCCGGACGTGCTAACATTCACTAAGAACCTCTACGAGAACCTGGTTACTACTAATCTCAGTGATAGGGAGTGGCAGCATCTCTTTGTTAACGCTTATTTCAAGTGAGTGGCAGCATCTCTTTGTTAACGCTTATTTCAAGTGAGTGGCAGCACCTCTTTGTTAACGCTTATTTCAAGTGAGTGGCAGCACCTCTTTGTTAACGCTTATTTCAAGTGATTGGCAGCACCTCTTAGTTTAGGGGGCTTACTTCTAGTGTTGGCAGCACTTATTTCGTTGGGGTGAATAATTTCTGGTGTAATGGATACGCTATACACATGGACTGGGAGAGGTTCTGTCCATTTTTGTACGTGTCGTGTTTAAAAAGTATTAGAAGTAGAATACCGTACCCTGATATTATATATACTGTAATTGTGGTATTTTTAGCCAGCATTCGACAGCGTACGCTCTACATGTCCGTAAAAGGTAAAGTCCTCCCTGAAAAGTTGCTTCTGCTTCTATAAATAACTAACTCTCTACAAATATGCTCGGTTAATGTTGGGAATGTTACAATAAGCATTACCCAATATTAACTGAATTGCTTCAAATCGTGCGGTAAATCAGTAAACTTGTTAATATACATGTACTTGAATACAGCTCTTGCTATAATAATATAACTTGTGAAACCTCTCAAAGTTTGATAAAAGGTTATTTGGGAATGATACGGAACACGGGCCTCTAGCAGGGGAAATTGTAATGATAAATGACCCCTGCCCAGGCCTTCTTGGCCCTGGGCCAGCAACCATTGCGTGTTCCGCGTTCATTCTCTCCTTACAATCAATTGTAGAAAGTATGCTATTATGCAGATTATCCTTTGGCAATTTACAGGGTATATTATGATAGTTATAATTATGAGAGACGCTGCATGTAACAGCGCCCAAAAGGCGAAAGTCCTAAGGTTCGGGCTCGCCTGAAGATAGGACAGGGAGTCAAACATCTGGAGCCAGAAAACTGGGTACCTGGCAGGACCGGGGGGAGGTATTACACTTTATCCTGATCATGTGACCCCAGCTCTGTTACCCTGAATACGTGACCTCGGCTAGAGGTTCATTTGTCGTGTAAACCTTGGCAAGGTTACAAACCGTTTTACTGTTTTAGCCTTGAAGGTTCGTGTGCGTGATGATAGTGAACCATCTTATCACGCATAATGATTGCTATCTCTCGAGGAATACTTACATAAAGTACTTTGACGTCAGGCACTTGGCACTCTGCCGATCAGTATACTACTATCTAGATGTGAATATTTATGTAGAATTGCAAGTTGTGTGTGATATTATATTGTACTTACAGTCACAAGTTACATGGTCCTTAACCTAGGAATTTGGGATTAATCCAAGAAGTCTAAAGATCTGTAGACCACTTACCACCTGAAACACAGGGTTATTCAAAGTTAGGAGATTCAAATGGCTCTCTGTGCATTATTAGTCTGAGGCTAAAAGTGCTCCGTAATGATTATTGAGCAATAATAAGTATCCTTGTATGTGATAAATAAGACCTGCAGTGAGCTCTAATTAGCTAATTCTAAAGATCAACTATTATTATATATAACATTAGCTCATTGTCGGTTAGATTCCAGGAATTGGACGAATCCGCGCCATCCGCTGGTTAATAGTCACATACCATCTGACTTTATAACAGTTTACTGGTTGACTGGTTGAGTATTGGAACAATGCAGGAGATATCAGACTTTAAAAGGCAGGAGGTAGTCCCAGGGCATGTATGAGGCAGGATTGTCATGGTTGATGGTATGTGGGTAATGTTGGCTGCTTGCCCGGTATGCTGGCTGCTTGCCCGGTATGCTGGCTGCTTGCCAGGTATTCGGGATATTGTCTGGTGTTGTCAAGGTACTGAAGGCAAATCATTACTGTCATCCGTATTAAAATAATGTATTTACAGCAGCAGGGTACGTACCTACTTGAATAGTACCCCTTGAATATTCGTATATTCCCTATAAATCTCTAGTCAGCGCGGTAAGAGTTCCTGGAGTGCCATTATTTTTAGAACATTAAGTCAAACCCGGAAATTTGTGTCCGTGAGGGGTCTCAGAAGGAAAGGGACAATCATCCAAAATAGATTATGCTGAGGAGCTATATTCCTCAGAAACCACTTAGAGGACACGACATGCTTCAATATATATAATATATTATATAATGTTGTCTGTGAGGTAACGTAAACGCATTATCTTTACATTTGTTGGGGGATATTGAGAAGCATTTGGAATATTTGACTGTGAGCGCATGTTCCGAATAAACGCAAAATCATTAGTTATAGTTATATGTTATTAGTTATAGTTATATGTTATAGGTTTGGACCGCAGCTTTCAATTGGATGAATCTAGAAGAATTGAAAGTCACGTATTTGTCTTTATCCAGGATTATTATCATAATCAGTAGCATACGATATAGACTAATCTTTTAATCTGAAACGATTGAATTAAAGATTGAATTAGATTACGGATTTAAAATGATCAACAACTTCTCCCTTTCAGTCACCCCCTGTACAAGACTGAGTTGTTCTACGATCTCTACCTCCAAATGGAGGACCCTGCAGCTAAAATGCCAGTTATTATCGGAGTGAACGAACACCACTTTGTGGTTGTGGACAGATTCACTAACGAAATTATCGGTAGGTTTGGTTTCATACCAGCTTGCTTTGCCGATAATCGATAGGTGCCGCTCGGCACACGTGCTTAACTGCACGTGCGCTTTACTGCACGTGTGCTTTACTGCACGCACAGTACCACGGTATAGCGCATGTGCTGTTGTTGTGTGTGTTTGAGCAGTGCTTTGCCGGATTTGAGGCTATGGTTGGTGCCTGGTGGCTGGTAAGGACAGTTTTTAGATAGAGATCTTGATTTTCGATGACCGTTCCATATTCCATAAGTTGAACTGTTTATTTCACTATAATGAAGTAACTATGTATATTATTAGTATAATATTAAATGTAACTACTTCAGAATTATTAAGTGACTATTAATTAACGAAAAAGATGACTGTTGCAGAGCTATTAATAGTAAATATTAACTATTAGATAACTATTAAATAACTATTAAGTAACTATCAAATAACTATTAAGTAACTATTAAGTAACTATTAAGTAACTATTAAATAACTACCATCTTTAAAAACCTACAGGTCACCACCCATTGACGAACCTAGAGAAGCCTATACAATGGTTCACCAAGCCTTTCGATAACGTCTTGTGCGTGTCCATGGATCAGGAATATCAGATTATCGGTCAGAATCCTAGGTGAGTGTAGACATCAAATATTAAGTTAATTATCGTAATTAATTATCGTAATTAATTAGAAGATATTATGTATTTTAAGGCTTGTAGTTACGATGTAGCTCTGAGTTAACCAAACTATATATTCAAGGAAGTCAGAAACGAAGCTGAAGATACTTAAATTGTTTTATTTGATGATTTCTTTCAATAAAAGTTGTATTATTTATCTCCCGATCCATGATCCATCCAAACCCCCCCCCCCCCCCCCCCCCCCCCCCCCCCCCCCCCCCCCCCGGCCCTCTGCTCATATCGAAATGAACTTTGTTTGGAATTGACGAGAAATCTTTCCTCGGTTTCTCACTGAGATTCGTGCAATGATAATTCAATCTCAGCCCTTCTCCATTACCTGCCAAACAATGTATCGCGGAATTATGAAGCTTCAAAAAAATGTGTCAAATAGGATTAATTGAGGATAACCTTGTATTATCAGGAACTTCTAATTAATCCCATTAATGCAGTTTCTGCGCGCTCCGCCTCGTGCAGCTATTCGAAATAATTTACTGAAATTTCTCACAATTCATTCTATGCTAGAGTTGAAGATTGGCACTTGTTCATGTATGCAGTGTGTTTTGTAGTGCAAGTTTTTTGTTAAAAACAATTAGTTGTGCAGAACATTATAATATGTTCAATGCACTGTGAAATTGCATGTTGAAAGTTGATTTATATATGCACAATGCACATTGCACACATACAATGTTGTACCTAAGCCACGCGAACCATATGCTCGGAAATTCAAACTATAGATGTGCATGCTATAGTGTGTGTTTTCGGCGTTACTATTTGATGTCAAGCCAAATTTATTGGTCACTCCAATTCAATAACTCCTAATAACTCATGATAACCTGTCAAAAATTGGCTAGTATTTGGGGGACATAATATGCTTGAAGGAAGCCTATATAGAATATTATCTTCAAACTCATAACTTCGGCAAGATGTTGTATTTAAAATTGTACATAATATTCATAAAAATTATACAATATGTCCATTGTCCAAGCGTTCTGATTTCTTTCTGTATTTCAAAATGTGGTTAATACTTTTGAATAATCTTGAATCGCATCATACCTATTGACGAACAATTTTGCCATTATTTTGAGTTTTGAGTTTTGACTGCATAAGATTTTCAGATTTAGCAATTTATGATATTTAAAGCATTGATAATGTTTTCAATATTGATAAATCACATAAATTTGTTTCAAGCCTACAATTATCATTGAAATCCATTTATCGCAGTGCAATGATTAACACTTAACAGTTTATTAAAATCTCTCAAATCGAACTTTTTCCAGGATTATGTCTGAACATTATGACGAAAATCACAACGGAACAGATACTCAGTATCCTGAAGAAGAGGGATATTATTACACTTACCCACCAGAAAGAGCACTAGTTAGTGTTGGTTACCCACCCCAATCAGCAGCAGAAAGAGCACTAGTTAGTGTTGGTTACCCACCCCAATCAGCAGCAGAAAGAGCACTAGTTAGTGGTGGTTACCCACCCCAATCAGCAGCAGAAAGAGCACTAGTTAGTGTTGGTTACCCACCCCAATCAGCAGCAGAAAGATCACTAGTTAGTGTTAGTTACCCACCCCAATCAGCAGCAGAAAGAGCACTAGTTAGTGTTGGTTACCCACCCCAATCAGCAGCAGAAAGATCACTAGTTAGTGTTGGTTACCCTCCCCAATCAACAGCAGAAAGAGCACTAGTTAGTGGTGGTTACCCACCCCAATCAGCAGCAGAAAGAACACTAGTTAGTGTTGGTTACCCACCCCAATCAGCTGCAGCACGAACTGAACATGATGTTTCTCACCCTTACCCACCAATATTACCAGCAATATCTGCCACAGCTGCAGTGCCATCTGAAGAAGTATATCATGTACGTCATGATCGAAATAATTGGCACCCTTCTAGATCAACAGCAGCTCAGTTTGAAGCCGACCATTATCCTGTCAGTGATAAAGCTAATCATTACCCACCAAGTTCAGTGCCTTCTCCTCCGAGTTCAGTGCCTCCTCCTCCTCCGCCCAGGGACTCACAACCATCAGAATCATCACAAGCTCTTGTTGTTGTTGATGCTGCTGCCTCTGTTGATAGCTCAGACTTTGCGAAAGGTTACGGGTTTGTGTATTCTTACCCCGAAGCTGAAGAAGGCAGTGCTATGCAATATGAAGGGGGAACATATTACGAAACTGCTGAAAATCAAAGACATCACCATCAAACAGTGTACCAAACATCGGACCAAGTTTACCCTCCATCAGAACACCCTGAGAGACATGATGGACAGTATGTTCACGAGGGTTCAAATCACTACCAAGACAATACAAGCGTGGTTATTCCTGCAAGCCAGACAAAATCCCTTGCCCCAGTCGCTCGACAATATCAGGAATTAACCGACCATGCTCCTGGTAATCAGCAGGGTTATGGTTATCATGGTAATCTGCATCATCCTGCACAGCCAAAAAGAAGGATGGTCGCTCCACCTAGCAATCAGGCGGTGGAATACCAAAGATATGAAACGTTTAGCTCATCAAAGGTAGAATACTCTGAGTTTGGTACAAAGATAACGAAGCAGTATGATATCAAGCGAGTGAGTGGTGCTGGAGGAAGAGGAGGAGGAGGGAGAGGTAGGGGCCGAGGTAGGGGCCGAGGAAGGGGCCGAGGCCAAGCTTATGGTACAACGGATTCATTTTCAACCCAAAATGTTGGTACTGCTCCTGCAAGAAAGACCGAAAATGGTTTCAGAGGAGCAAACACAACAACTGTCTGTGGAAGAGGACAACTTCCCCAAGCTCATTCTGTTACCTATGATGAAGGGGTCGCTCCAGTAGTTAAGAAGTCAAAAGATGCGTTTGACCAGGGATATGATTTCCAACCAAGATCAAGAGGTCCACCCTTTGAAGATATCAATGAAGACTTAACACCCGCCTTTTCTGACAGTTCTGAGGAGGTCCCTATTGTTCCTGTATGGGCTAGAGCTCTCTCTAGCAGTGTTCTTAATAAACAAAAAAAACGAGGTCATAGAAGTGGTAGAAGAATCCAAGAGAGTAAAGCATTATCAAAAGCATGGGAAGAAGGATCACAATATGTACCCTATATTGCAACATGCGCTGGTAAGCACCCTGCTCTGGCTGTCAATGAGTTCTTTACAGGAAACAGAATCTTTACTATAGGTGATAATTTTGCGGAAAACTTGTCTCAAAGATATTTATTGAACCGCTTTTTTGTTGGCATTATCCTCCCTTCTCATAATGACAGGATGTTTTATGGAGTTGCTGTTAATGAGAAGATAGCTAAGTATGAAGTGTGTGCGGTTGCTCTCAAAGGAATGAATATAAGAGGCTGGCAGGCATTAACTGATCATTTAAATTTAGGAAGTACGAAAGACAAAATGGCAGAGATGCATTCGTTTAGGGAATTAGTGCCTTTCGAGCTGAAAACAGATAGTGGAGAATTTCTTGATGTTGTTACATATGCACAACGACAATTTGATGTTGATGTGCTTGAATTTGATGAACCAATTTTGATCTCAACCCATCCAAAAGATTCCATTTACAAAGCTACTGTTAAAATCAAAACTTATACCTTTACGGAAATCGGAAATAGTCCTGAGGAAGCTAAGAGAAGACTTGCATGGACGATCATAAAACTAGTTGAAAACAAAGACATGAAATTGAGACTGACCGGTGGATTAAACCGATTGAATTCAACTGATGCTGTTAACGATATGGACTTCAGTATTCACGATCAAATAATGTTCATGGTTTTCGAAACCATCGCAAAGAACACCAAACATCTCCCTTCTAAGTTCCTCGATTTCTATAACGTTGCCGCTGTCCTGCTCTTGTCAGGCGACTTTGAAGAAATAGAGAACTACAAAATGGTAGCTGTAGCTACGGGATCTAATTGTGTCAGTAAACTAGGATTTAAAAAAGATGGATCTGTTATTCATGACAGCAATGCCGTGGTGCTAGCCGTTCGGGCGCTCAGATCATACTTATTTGATCAGCTTAACGAAGAAGACAGCATTTTGGAAGCGTCTGACAGTGACGGGTATAAATTCAAGTTAAAGGACCAGTACAAAGTAATCATGGTTATGAACTTTGCGCCGCCCGGTTGTGGTGATATCTTGGTTAACAAAGACGACGGGACACCTGATTCTGACCTCTGTCAATTACGAACTCTAGCTATAGACAACTTTATCAACTGTAGCTGCCAGTTTAAATACCTTCCTTGTCAATCTGAATCTTCCCTTTACTCCGATACAGAAAAGCATTGTGTCGCATCTCCATCAGATAAAATTACAATGCTAAATATTGCTGGTATCAATGGTGCTTTGCTGGCCCAGTTTATTGAACCTATTTATGTTGACGCATTCAGCATGTCAAAGGTTGGAAAGTATTACAGATCAATCAACGCTATGAAGCAAGCCATTTACGAGCGAATTTCGGAACAAATTTACAAAGACCTTCCTACTCCCTTCACTTTGTACGAACCTACCTTCAGATTTGTTAGTTTCATTGGATCGAAGTCACGTGATAATTTAAACGATCAGCGTATCAGTGACTACTCAGGGTGGATTAACTGCTGGGGTGAGGAGAAGGTTTGTGAGGTAATCAAACAGTCGAGGGGTCTAGCTGTCACTGACATTCCAGAGCGTCTTATTGCAAGAAAGGATTTCATAAGTGATGCTGAGTATTATAGCTGTAAAGCTGAGGAGGCAAGGAATGTTGAAGCTTCGTTGAAACCTAGTCAGCTTAGTAAACAATCTTTCTTTAAAAAGTACAAAGATTTCTGTGGAAAGATCGGGAAAACAATTCCGGACTCCTATTTCGCATGCAAGGATTTGGCTGATGATTATCATCAGGTAAAGTGTGCGGTGAAGAAAGCGTTTGTCAGTGCCGGATTAGGAACGTGGCCTGAGAAACATGTTAACACTGACTGTTTTAAAATTCCTGTTGATGATATTAATTTTGAAAAGGGTAAATTATTGGATGATAAATGAAGGTGTAGTTTAATAAGTGTATTCATTTTGAAGTTAGCTTATTTGGTCAAGCTTAAATTTTAAATAATACAGCTGAACTGTACTACCTATAATATTTAATACATATTTTCATTAAATTTTTACCGAGTAAAGTTAATTTCTTAAGTCCCAATATTTCAGACCTTGTCGGAAGTTTCATGTTAATATTATTTTACTGCGGCAGTTAATCAATTAAGCGCTTTGTCTTGCTTTCTATCGGTACAGTGTGGCTAACCTGAAAACAGCACGATTTTCCTTCTGCTGTTTTCAGAATTGACGACGCGAGTTTATGACTTTACAATGATTATATACTGTGAAATGTTGATTTATACATTACCACACGCCTAAGGTGACGTTACTCCCCGCTCAGCCTTACCACAAATATCTGCTACCTCTAAGAATGCCTTGTGGATGACTTCTAGGTAGCATATTTCCGAGTGTCGTGTCAGTGGCCGACATATAAAGCTGATAATTTGAAGCAAAAGAGGTGTTGAGAGGCCGAGTTGGGCTAGGTTAAGGCCAGGCAGTATGGAATTGTAAAGTGATAAAACAATTGCCGTGAGGTAATGGGTGAACTCCCTGCGAGGAGTGTTTTGTGTTATCTCGTGCCCTTTTAATGTGTGTAGCTGTAATGAGTTAAATTGACTTGAAACTCGATTCACGTGGTCTATTTATTCTATAATGCCATATTGTATTCAATTGTGTAATCAGATTTCAATCGTTTGCAATGATGAATGCATTTTTATTTTTTATTTTGCAATTACAGAACTGTTAATAGTAAAAACATAATTTTACAATGCTTATATAGATTGAATGTGTAAGAATTCGAATGAAATCAGAGTAAATACTTCTCAATAAGCGGTATTCTTTGTCTCATAGCTCTCAACTAAGGTGCTATAACCATTAACCATGTTTTTAATACACTCAACCAACCATTTAATTAATTAAGTTAATCAATTAATTAACAAGACTGTTATTTCAGTGACATTGAGATTCTAGCAACACTGATGATTCAGCACATGGGAGGGAAGATTGAAATAATAGACAACATGTTCTATGTTGATGATGAGGACTTCAGTGATTCAGATAGGATTGTAACGAATAATCGTCACTCCTGGCATGCCAATACGTGAGTTTATCTTTTCTTGGTATATACAGTAAATTGATTTGTCAGTTTGATTGTTTGATACATTTTTAAGTTTCGATGAATGTATCGGGATATAGGACACAAGGGCTGAGGACACAAGAATTGAAGTCAACGTATAAACAAACTTTGAAATCAAATTGTTTGATGTTACAAGTTTATTATTGGTTCTTTATTTGGGACTGTGTTTGGTTCCACCCTCAGACCCTCGTGTCCACTGTCCATGTTACTATGTTAACTCTTAAAACGAGTATCATGAGATCCGCCCTCATTTCCATGAAGCCATGAGTAGTGCCCTAGTATCCTTCGCCCTAGTGTCCTCCGCCCTCGTGTCCTCCGCCCTAGTGTCCTCCGCCCTAGTGTCCTCCACCCTAGTGTCCTCCGCCCTAGTGTCCTCCACCCTAGTGTCCTCCGCCCTAGTGTCCTCCACCCTAGTGTCCTCCGCCCTAGTGTCCTCCGCCCTAGTGTCCTCCGTCTTAGTGTCCTCCGCCCTAGTGTCCTCCACCCTAGTGTCCTCCGCCCTAGTGTCCTCCACCATAGTGTCCTCCACCCTAGTGTCCTCCGCCCTAGTGTCCTCCACCCTAGTGTCCTCCGCCCTAGTGTCCTCCACCCTAGTGTCCTCCGCCCTAGTGTCCTCCAACCTAGTGTCCTCCGCCCTAGTGTCCTCCGTCCTAGTGTCCTCCGCCCTAGTGTCCTCCGCCCTAGTGTCCTCCGCCCTAGTGTCCTCCGCCCTAGTGTCCTCCGCCCTAGTGTCCTCCGCCCTAGTGTCCTCCACCCTAGTGTCCTCCGCCCTAGTGTCCTCCGCCCTAGTGTCCTCCACCCTAGTGTCCTCCGCCCTAGTGTCCTCCGCCCTAGTGTCCTCCACCCTAGTGTCCTCCGCCCTAGTGTCCTCCGCCCTAGTGTCCTCCACCCTAGTGTCCTCCACCATAGTGTCCTCCGCCCTAGTGTCCTCCACCATAGTGTCCTCCGTCCTAGTGTCCTCCACCCTAGTGTCCTCCGCCCTAGTGTCCTCCACCATAGTGTCCTCCGCCCTCGTGCCATATACCCCTTCTAGGCAAAGTGCTTGGTTGTGGGCAGTGATAATACCGCGGTACTTTAAACTTACCAATGTGTACAAAATCATATCGAGAATTGAAAATTATGATGTATCGTTTATTCTTTTAAAAAACTTTGAAATCAAAACCATGATAATACCCTGCTGTGGTGCTTTAAACTAACTTCCAACTGTCCCATTGTTATTTTATACACTGATACACTAGCTGACTGGATCTTATGTTGTTAGGGTAGAATGTAGAATGTTGATGTATAAAGTTAACGTAACTCACGTTTATTTCAATTGTAACGTTATTATATATATATAATATTTCAGTTGTTACGTGTCCTCATAGGATCTTTAATCCTTCGTGTTAGTTAGATTGTTAGATTGTTAGTTATATTATCTTCTTCTTTTCTATTAACTATCTGTTACATTGATGTTAATGTTTTTGTTTAAATTTTAGATTGCAAATTATTTTTGACGACATTGTTGATATGTGGCCTTTGAGTTCATTAAGAGAGTCATTGGCCTTATTCAGCTTATTAATTTGAGGTCGAAGATAATTAGAATTAGTCTGACTGCTTAACCGCCGATGTGTCCAACTTTAGTTTAATAAGTATAATAAATTTTATAATACATTTTATTCTAGTAGTACGCTGAGATATTTTTGAAGATGAATATTTTTAGAAGAATATTTTAAGAAAACAGATACGTTTTGAAAATCTACTGGGGCCAGTATTTATGAAGGTCTGGGGGACTACAAAATAAAACTAATCGACAGAAAAAAATCTAGTTTGATTTGATTTAAAAAAAGTTCCATTATACAATGCAAAAAACCAAAAATAATTTATCATGATTTTGCCTCCGTTTTTTTTGGTTTCACAATCACCAATTTCCCTATTCTTTTTTTTAAAAGAACCTAAAAAGTTACAACATCATACACTCTCGTCCACGTTAAATCTGCTCCCAATCACTATTAGGACACCTGACATCACCGAACCTAACGACCTGCACAGTAGACGTTCTAGACAGATATCCGTCCATTTAATTTCAGGGTCGCTCTTTCTCGCCAGAGCAGAGAAAACGAGCAGTAAATAAGTCATACGTACTATTTATAGGTATTATTCAAACTTGGGTAAACTTTATTATGAATCCTGCTGCTTAAATTCTAGAGAACTTAAATGTTTGGTTTATTCTGAGGAACGAACATTTTTTAGGCTTTTTTAGGCTTCGCCTGTCAGGCAGTGAATGTGACAACTAAAGAAGTTTTAAATGCACGAGCCTAAGCATGCAAAATTTACGCAGTAAATGGATGCTAGGTTTTTCCGGTTCTCATTAAAAACCTAGCATCCATTGAAGTAATTAATGTTGGGGGCTTGTCACCCTTAAGCTACTAAAATATGGCGAATTGTAATGATGTTGAGTTAGTATAATCATAAGATTAATGGTGATAATGAAAACATGAAAACGACGTATCTCGAGGCGACCCGCTTGTGACTCGAACAGTTTCGACTTTTTACGACCATCCACAAGGGAGTACCACATAGCAGATTATAATAATACTCCTCAATTATATCAGAAATCTTATAAATCTGGATTCTTGTGGGGAGATGCACATTTGTTTACTTTTAAGGGTAAGTATCTGGGGGGGGTGTAACCCAAAAAAACCCAACTCCTACCCAAGAAAAGGTAATACTGGGATTGGGTTTTTTTGGGTTTTTTTGGGTTTTTTAAACAAAATTTAAACAAAATTCTAGCCATTTCATTAATAGTATTGAATGTGAATTATTTCCCACTGAGTCTTACCTACGTGTTGTTCTCATGTCTTAACTTAATAGATAGTTTGCATAGTATATAAGTGTGTTTATAATTATATTGATAGTATGTTATCACGATAGCAAACAGGATGTCTCGTTCATTGAGATATAATCCATATATGAATGCACAAAGTGGAAATGTGCCAAACGTGGCAAATGTGTTCTCCTGTCATGGAAGGAGGCTATGACGAAGGTCAAGGGCCAGTCAAAGCACATGACTTAAATTACTTGACTTAAGGCGGCTTCAGAGTCCGAGTCTCGATGATGTGTCTCCAAAGCTTTCTGTCCGCCATAAGCTCCTTAATCTCCCCAGTGTTCTTGAGTCCAGTGTCACTTATTAGGTTATCGACGAAGGTGAGCGGTGGTCTACCCCTCCCTAGGTTCCCAAAGGAGAAGTTGGTGTGCTGCCAGGTCATCATGTCGCTGGATGTGCCCAGCCAACCTCATTCTTCTGGCCTGTATCTTCGAAATAACTCTTGGGAGTGATCCAAAGACCTCCTTGTTGGTGCGATGTCCTATCCAGTCCACGTTTAGGGCCATCCGAAGCATTCTACTGTAACATCCGTCTATTCTTTTCTTCAAAGATTCTGTTATTGTCCACGTTTTCGTTCCATACAGGAAGATTGATTCAACCGTAGCTTGAACAGACGGATCTTTAAATCTCGGCGCAAATTGGACCTCCATATAGCCTACATTTTGTGGTAGGCAGCCCATGCCTTGGCCTTGCGTAACCTAAAGTCGTGCTCCGTTGTACTAAAATCCTCAACTTCTTCTAAGGCATGTCCGTCCTTAGAAATTATTGTGTGTGGCTCCTCTCCTACTAAATTAACTGTAAGATGCTTGGTTTTAGACAAAAAAGATTTCATGCCTCTTCATCAGATGAGGCTTCTGTAGGACTGTAGCATGTGATGACAGTGAGCCTGGGCTTTCCATTAAGAGACATGGTGAGGATCCTTGCGCTGTAAGATTTTATAACTTTATAAGACTTATAATAGCCTCATATGCGCTGCTGTCCTCGTCAAGATGATTTCTACTCTCCCATTAGAAGCGCCAGCTGCGTTTCTCCACGCAGATGAGATCACTGGATGAATCCCTTTGTTCATCTTTTCTATTCTGGTATTCTCAGCAATCAGCATGCACTACCCGATGTTCGATTCTTGCAGGGCAAGGATGTGCAGCTTGCTTCGAGAAAATAGTTCTGCAAGTTCGATGCGTTTGTGCTGTTCTCTGGCTGTTCTTATGTTAAATGTGCTAACCTTAGCAGTCCTTTTACATGATACAATACAATTGATGTTCATATTTTTTGATGTTTTCTTGTTTGACTTTCTGTAGAAATAGGTTGTCGTGTTGTGGAGACCGAGTCATCAGCAAATAAGGGGCTTTAACCCTTAAGCTGTTGATAAACTTCATCTTGACTTTTCAGTTGGCTCACAATCCTGTGCAGTCCCCTGCACATTGGCAGTGGATTACAAGCTATGAAGAAGGGAGTCTCAAGGGGTAGATAACTCCTTCAAGAACACTATAGCTTTGAAGGAGAGGCTTTCCAACCATCTTCTGACGGAGCAGAGAGTGACGAAGCGGAAACAGATGATGAAGAAGAGGAAGTGGAGGATATTGACTCATCAGAGGAATGGGCGAAAATAGTAACTGTGTATGGTGATGCTCTGCATCATGATACGGCTGTTGAGGTTTGCCTCAATGGAGGGCGAGATCGAATGCCATCCCAGTCAAGATTTTAGCGACTCCAGGGCCATAAACAAGCGAAGATATTACTTAATATCACATGTGATCATGCAGCTGATGGTAACTGCAAGATTCTTTCAGTTGGAGATAGAGCATGGTTTCTCGTTAAGCGGATGATCAGGAAAACGGAAACAGAGATCGTGAAGGTAAGAAGAAAGGCTTTATTCCTCTCGTACCGGTTGCGGTCAGGTTTGGGGTCATCAGTGAGTTGCGTCCCTACTAACTCAATTTGCCATGGCCATCGAAGTGAGCATTACATATGGCTGATATCATATCTGGATGGCCAACTTCTTCTGAGCACATCAGTGAATAAAATACTGCTTTTGGGTGATATTTAAGCGATTATATTTATTGTGATGTTGTAGTGATGAACCACAACAGTGATGTTGTACTGATAATTGTTTTGCTAGGTGCCTACATGATTTTATTTCCTTCAAATGAAAAATTTGTAAAAAACCCAAAAAAACCCAACTCCTACCCTGAAAAAGGTAATACTGGGATTGGGTTTTTTTGGGTTTTTTTGGGTTACACCCCCCCCCCCCCCCCAGTATCTGTTCAGCAGGAGAAAGAGGTGATGCACATTTTGTTTTATGGAACGCTTGTAACGCTTGTAACTCCTTCTTGTTACCCCCCTTTGAAGGTGGGGAACGAACGTGTATATAATGTAACACCGAGTCTTATATTCGATAAGAATGGTGATTATAATTTAATGTAATAATAGATGAGGATTCTCGTGGGGATGTGAGGTACATTTGTTTACTTTAATAGTAAGTACCTGTTCAGCAGGAGAAAGGGGCAAGGTCAAAAGGAAATCGCAGCACTTGTGGAATCGCGATTTTTCCCATTCTCCGCGACAAATTTGTTAAGTGAGATTTGCAGAACTATCTGTCGCTGGCTGTCGAAACAATGTCTAGCGTCACTAGCGCTGTCTAGAGCTATAGAGGTCCATCGTGGCTGTCGATGTTAACGTTTATTGTTCATGGAACACTTGTTCATGTTTTTGTATCGAAGCATTATGAAACGCAATGATCTTTGATTATTATAAATATCAAATTTATATTACTATCGTCTTTACTGCTTGTGTAACCAAAACCATGTCCTAGACGCTAGTCTAAATTTGCCCTCGTTCCCGTTCTTGCAGATGTCGTGCTGCTTCTATCTTTCTATGTTAAATATATATTTTCAACCGTGAATAGTAGAAAATTTCATTTACTTTTTTAACTTCCCCTTCCCTTTATGGAATGGAAATTCTACTTCAACAATGCCCATGCTACTTTTATTAAAGCCGCATAATAAATATTTTAAAACATTGCGCAGTTCAACCAACATATTACTAAAGTATCAAGGTTAATATTCTGTTCATGTTCGGACGGTAAGCACCACAGTCAGTTGTTGGAGGAGCAACCTAAACACTGTCAACATCAGTTGCCTATCTTAAACCCGGTGTTTTCGTACTCTGCTCTTCACTCAAGTTGCAAAGCTGCAATAAACATATTGCAACGAACATTTCTCTCGGAAAATTGTGTTAGTACCTGTTCGATCAGTTAAGGTGACGATTGCCTCGATCTTTCGGTTTCAGCTTAACTCCCTAGGCCCTAGGTCATGAGTTGAACCGAAGGATCGAAATATATGTTGGTTGTTGCTCGTATTAACTGTAAAACATTAATTTTGAGGGATAAGGAAGTGTTTGTGGGTTCTGAAACCTAGTTAAATCGATTTCTCGTGCAATTTTAGGTCATCAAGAACAGTCATCAAAATGAGTTAACAACAAGGTCGATTTCTCGGTTATTTTTAAGCTTTCGTTCAGAAAATAATTCGGGACCTACAAAGGGGGGTAACAAGAAGGAGTTACAAGCGTTCCATAATACAAAATGTGCATTACCCCTTCGCTCTTTCTCCTGCTGAACAGGTACTTACTATTAAAGTAAACAAATGTACCTCACATCCCCACGAGAATCCACATATATTATTACATTAAATTGTAATCACCATTCTTCTCGAATATAAGACTCGGTGTTACACGTTCGTTCCTTTTTTATAGATCATCACTATTCATTAGTAGAGCCGAGTTTTCAAGTGGCTTACTCGTCGCTTCACTCCGCATTTGATTTTACTCTTCGTGTATTAGATGTGGAATCCCTCAATGTACTGTTAATTTGTTTTGGACAATTCTTTTGGATAAACAGAATTTTTAAACTTGCGAACATACTTTTTTTCTAATCGTACATACTTAAACAATCATATTATGATACATAGTTTCTATATCTTTTAATAGTAATTTCTACGTTGAGTCTATTTAGTCCGACACTGAACGGATTGTTTCGCTATGTGTAATATTTAGTTTGCAGTGGAAATTTAGAAAATGTTGCAGTCAGGTTGAATATATGCACTAAGGGTATTTAGATTACGCTGATAGCCATCTCTTAGGTTTTGTCATGGGGTTCGACATCCGTTCCAGAAACGTAAAGACTGGTCTCGTATTGTCTTCGTGCATGTTTACTCTGATCCTCCTTTTAGTCCTGAATCGTGATGATAAAACAGGTACAACATTGAAGTCAGAAACGCTAATCTCAGAAATACACAAGTTCTCAGATGACTCAGAACTTACTGTCGACGCTGACCAATCAGAAGATGACTCAGAACTGCAGGACCGAGTTTCAGAACTGCCAGAACGAGGTTCAGAACTGCCGGAACGAGGTCCTCCTGATTCTAACAGCCCCAATTTAAAACCTCCTTCTCAACAGTGGGCTCGTGCTCAATTTTACAAGACTATGTCTTTCTTGGGTTGGGAATATACTCCACCGAATGATTGGGAAAAATGTGGTGCGAGAACCTATTTTTTCCCTAAGGTAAACACCATGTTTACTGGAACACCAAAGACAGGTTGCTCGAACTGGCTGATAGCCCTGTTGGGTGCGGAAGGAGAGCTAGACAAAAACGTCAACGGACAGAAAGTGGCATGGGTTCATGGAGGTTCCTCACAAAGGCACAGAATACAAAATATGGCTGAACAGTATGACCGCACAGTTCTTGATAAAGCGTTCAGCTTTACTGTTGTTCGAAATCCATGGACTAGATTGGTGTCGGGCTACAGACAAAAGATATCAAGCGAGGAAACTCAAGGTGGCGAGATGAAATTTGCGAGGATGAAAGTTTTGTCAGAAATTCGGGGCATAACTGACCATAAATTGCTTGAAGGTTTATATCCAACTTTCGAGGAGTTTGTGAGGTTTATGGTCAGAAGGAAGGGTCAGTATGACCGTCACTTTCATCCTCAAACCATTGAGCTGTGCATACCATACGCAATGTATGATGTTATCGTGCCCCTTGAATATTCAGCCACTCTCAGTCAAGAAGTTTGGAGCAAGATTAACGGTTCGGAAACGTCTCTTTTAGGTTCTTATGACAAAGCTTCTGATCCACGCCTGCAAAGTTCTGCTTTGTACGCGAAGAAGTGGTTATCCGAAATGGACCCTGAAATAACAGATCAGTTTTACAATATTTACAAAGGAGATTTTATGTTAATGAACTACAGCAATTTTACCCATCCGGATTTCCCTCTTCCCCTACATAGCCACTCGACTTAAAACGTTGGTCTCCGTACGAATACATCATTCTAATAACTGATTAACTTCTTATTCCTCAATGATATCAGATAATATATTATGGGCAATTATTTATAATATAGGTCTTGGCTCTTTTATCCATTTTCGCTGATATACCATTACCAATATATATATATTGAACATTTGTTTCAGTTGGAATTTGGTTTATTTTTCAGTTTAGGTGAATACCCCAGCCCAAACGGCTCTCTCTTTTGCTATTGAATCAGATAATTCATTAATTGGAAGATTGGGGAGACCTAGAATGAACTTGTCATCTGTTATAAGAAATGATTTAAGTAGTAGAAATTTGCACATAGATAACTTGCATGAATTAAACGAAATCAAAGATATAGCTGCTTGCAACAGATGTTGGGTAAATCTGTTTACCGCATTAAGGTATTTTTATGAATCATTTTTGTCGGTAAGATCCTTTTTTATAATAATAATAATAAACACTCTGTAGCCAGTTCTAGTGAGTCCCATCTCTTGCTCTGCATGCCCTGTTTCTTGTTTATACTGTATACAAAATATTATATTTATGTAATAAACATTTTTTGTAGTGTTTTAATCTCTATTTGCTAAGTTATATAATATACACTTTGTGATCGTTTCTCCCGTTTTTCTTCCCTTGCGTTGCAAGCCCTGTCTCTTGTAAAAACAACTCACTTTTGTAGATACACACAGTCTCTACGCCTTTATCCTCTGGTCCATAGGGTCAGCTGACTCCTGGTCAGAGGAAAATTACCGATTGCCAAGGTTTGATGCCTAGGCAGTCGAGACCTCTTATTAAGACCCGATATAATAATAATAATTTCAGTTCAGGTTCTTTGTTACAGAAATAAAGGCTTTAAAATGTATAAATCTTCTTAAACATCAGCAGTTTAAGACATTTAAAAAATCAGAAATTGATAAAAGTAAAATATCAGATAAATATTAAAATACCACAAACATGTTTGTCTCGTTGTAGACAGGGTTAGTGCATCACGTATTGTAAAGGTTTTACGTCAAATGTAATTCCCAAAACTACAAGATGTTCAGTTTATAATGATATGGAAGTCATTAGGAGGAAGCCTTAGATAGCAGAGTCTTTATCCACGTTGCAGTGTATCCCTGCAATCCCTGCTACCATACTTCTAGTGGAGGTATGGCGGTATAATATTATGTGTACTAATTAACAGAGTTGAAAAGTCAAGATCTTGACACAAGGTTAATCATGTTGTTGCCAGCAGTTTCTAATCGGTAAGGTATGCCAGGTATGTTGTCCATGGTTACAGGACTGACCACGCCCTTATCGGTGAGGTATGCCAGGTATGTTGTCCATGGTTACAGGACTGACCACGCCCTTGAAAGTTGAAAGATATCTTCGTGATCCACTGATGTTTCCCGTACTAAAAGTAACTGACGTTCAACTCTTCAGGAAGAACGGTTATACACGCTTGGAGGGGGACGCTCCACCGACAACTCCCTGTGGAGGAAACAGCTTTGTTGACATCTCACAGGTAGATTTAATCAAATAAAAACATTATGACACATATTAAGATAATCAAACAGTTTCATAAAAATATCTTATTAATTTGAAATATAACTTCATAGACATAAATTTAATTTTAATAAATCAGACATTTCAAATGAGGCCCAGGTAGATCAGAGATATATCATATCATAATCTTTCTTCCCCTCAATATCTTGCATAAATATCTGAGATGTTTTCATTTGTCATGTTAAAGACATGATTTAGAAATCGCTGAGTCGCGAAATTTATCACAGTTCTCACCATCCTATAGAAGCACTATTTCTATGGGGCTGGTGACATTTTAGTTTTGACATTTTTTCAGCGCTTTTGGACAAATCATAGACGCTTTCTTACATTTTTTGGCGCTTTTTTGGACATTTTTTGACGCTTTTTTGGCGCTTTTTTGGACATTATTTACGCTTTTTTGGCGCTTCTCACCATCCTATAGATCGAGCTGTAAATACTAAACTGTGTAACGGTTCTTAAAACAAGAAAAACGATAGATGAAAAACAGTTTTTAACTAGCATCATTATGTTCTATTTTTGATTTGAATAAAGTTACATAATAATAATATAAAATCATTACCCATAATTTGAAAGATAGTTTCCCAGATCACGGAAAACTTTCCTTAGTCTTTAGTCTTGTACTGAGGACATGGTTATGGATACTAATCATTCGGGCTTTTATTTATTTAATAAATCAATATTTACAAATTACAGGACCGTTAAATTAAAGCTTGTAATTGAATCAAAGTTTTTACAGGCAAATGATGACGGAGTTTTGTCAAACGCAAGATCCAGGCTGTCTCTCAACCTTTCTTTTATTGGCCAGAAAGCTATGCAGTAAGTGAATAATGCTATTTTTACAGAATGTAATTTATCTATAATATTCATCAATCTGTTGATATCTTTAAATCAGTAAAATCACAAATTTATCAACCAACTAATCCAATATGATAAAGTAAAATAAATAAGTAAAAAAGTAAGTAAGTAGTAGTAAACTCACCCAACTTGCAGGGATTCCAGCTCCTTACGTAGGGTCCACACAACAAACGACGTGACGATCATGAACGAAACACTAAAACTAGTTGAATCAATACCTCGAACCTCCCTGACGGACCGACTGAAGAGCTTTAGTATCAGTACCAGTATTACCAGCAGACTTGATAAGCTGGATAGTGTGAGAACTGAGTACGACAGCGACGAGGTTAGTGACTTTTCTTCTTTTTTTTCTTTTTTTAGTGTTTAATGTTGTTTTACTGATGTTTATTCTTAGAATTTTGTGAGATCGAAAAAATTTTTCATTATATTTATTATAGCTGCGAGATTGATGCGATTTATTTATGTACGTGATCGTTTATTATCACTATTCACCAAGTTCATAATTCTATTATTCGTTACAATAACTGCATAATCTCAGGATATCCTCCCGAAAGTTCTACCCACTGACTCCCTAATAGGACCTCCCCCTCCCCACTCCCTAATGGGACCTATCCAGCACTCAAACAAGCGATCCATCAGGAGATCCCCCCGGATATCCCCCAAACAGTCCTGGGAGAGAGGCGTGGTTAAGATAGACCCGGAGACCGCCCAGGTACTAAGTCCTAAAATATTAGACTTGATAAATAATAGCTCACCTGTTTTACTGGTAGTGATAAGCCACCCGATTCCTGATTAAATGTAATTCTTCGTGAGTGAGTGAAGTTGTATATTACCAATTTGCTCTCTGCAACTTTCCATGGTCCATATTTAATTAGATATAAATTACAGAGGCCTTGTCTGGTTTATCAGCTATTTCAGGCAATTTATTTTTCCATTCGTTTGATCACCACATTTTCTTGCTGGTAAAATAAATGTTGCACAATATTATATTTTGCAAGGTCTAGACTGTGCTCCGTAAAATTCTGCAGATATTATTTTCACTGCTGTTTGTGCACTGAGCGTTTAGCGTCATTAAATACAACCCACCGAATAACACCGCTATAGTTCATGACGACTGGGCCTTGGTGTTGTAATACTGTAATAGTACAGTGCAATTATTTGGGGTTACAGTAAGTGGGTCAGTAATTAAGTGGGTTTCTGATTGCAATTTATCAGGTCCTCTGTCAAGTAGCAAGTTGCTATTGAAAAAGAGGCATGAGATTGCAAAATATAGTGCAGAGTTCAGGGAAATTTACCATGAGCCATGTTTTGTTTCCGACTACCATTTCTTATACAACTGCACTGGTAGTTAATAGTTATCACTAATATGTAAACCACTATATCCAAACTGATACAGTGGTTAAACTTTTTTTTAAACTAAAAAAGGTCAAATTTAAAAAATCCACTCACATTTCTCCAGGTCTCTCATTGCTCTACAATAAATTCGCCTATTTCAAACTCGCACATGCTCCTTCATCAATAATTTATTCACGGTCTTATTATATTATACAGAAACAATAGCACGACTCATTACAGTGTACTACTTGTAAGTTGTTACTCTGCTTACCGTTCCGCAGAAACCATTTGTCGCCATATTGAATGAGAGCCCTGCCTTTCTGGGGAACTAGTTGAGCTCGCGCGGTGGTTAACTCATTCGTAAACCTTAGCTGCCTTTCCACGGAAACCCAGCTAGTTGATAACCTGGCGTTAAACCAAGACATTTTGTGTACTGTACTATACTTCTTGGTAATTTCCCGGGAGAAAAGTAACCGTTGCTGTGTGCCTCGCAGGAGACGGTCATCATAACGGAGAAGTGTAACGTGTTGTACCAGCTGAAAACCTCTGGAGCCAGCACCCCTTCTACTCCTCCTGATTCCGCACATACACCCCATCTGAGGGTACGGAATATGAGCAGTTTTAAGAACATTGATACGGCGGCTTTTACTAAACTCCTAGCTCAGGTGAGAGGGGGAGTGGGAGGCGCCACTCCTACTTTATTTTGTTAGAATAAGGTAGGAGTGGCTGTTTTTGATGTTAGTTTTAAGAATGATATCTTGAATCTTGGTTCTTTAATGAATTATGCTGATAAGTTATAAGTCGTGTAAAAGATACTTAGATAGTAAGAATGATGTTGTTAGGTTGCTAAATTATCTCACGCTACAGGGGACAAAAACAAAATGTTGGCAATGTTATTGAGTTTCAACTCTTGTGGAGCATTTTTTTCTACTCAAACTTAAATTTAATTTGTTGCAAATCCATTCTCCGATAGTCCCATGACTGACTTAAGAAACGCCCTCACATCAACTGAAACATTGACTACCACTACACTGCCCAAATTTGACAAAAGGAAGTATGTGCATTTTTGACTTTCCATGTAATGCCACTTATCCAGTGGGATAGAGCTTATTGCCAGCTTTTCAACGGTATATAAAACTCCATATCTTCAAAAATGTCACATACTTCCTTTTGTCAAATTTGGGCAGTACACTAGGAACTATAAATTCGAGTTATGAAATCTGGAACGTATAAACTCAAACTTGCTGCAAGAAATAACTTGGTTTTTCAGAGTATGGAATTGATAGAAGAAATAACTTGGTTTGTTTTTCAGAGTATGGAGATGATAGAAGAACGGAAGCGTGCTAACCGACGAAACAGCACCGAGTCAGCCCCGATCCGGAAACACAGCGCTGGAAGCAGTAGCACTAGCACCTGTAAACCCAGGCACCACCGCCCAATTTCACGCTCTAAAACATTCTCACAAACTTTCGATAAGTTGGTAGCAGCTTCCAGTCCTATTATACCGGTAGGTCCTTTTTCTGCCAGTAGGTCCTTTTTCTGCCAGTAAGTCCTTTTTCTGCCAGTCTTTTTTCTGCCAGTAGGTCCTTTTTCTGCCAGTAAGTCCTTTTTCTGCCAGTAGGTCCTTTTTCAACCAGTGAAATAACCAATTCTGTTATCGTTAAACAATTTCGATTTCATGTTATATTTTTGTGTTATCTTTTCATACTGTTAAGATAAATTAAGTTCTACTTGTATTTTAATTATGACGCATATCCAATTCCCCGAAAGTTTTCCTCCAGTTATCCCAGAAACCTGTTCGTGCGCCTCTAGACCGTTACAAGAAATATAAGGGAGCAAGATAATTATAAAATCGATGCTAACCGAAGCAAGAAGAATATCAAATATGAGCCAGAAAATTAGGTAGCAGAAAACAATACATTGTCCATGAAATTACCGACTACCCTTTACGAAAAAACGCTCCTAAATTGTGTGCGATATCAATTTCTACGAATTTAAGTTCAGTTTTGTTTCTACCTCCCCATTTTTTGGAACCGAAGTAAACACGTACTGAACTGCGGTAAATTCACGTGATGTATGACGTATGTGAACGTCTTGTAGTCGACCGGGATTCCCGGCGCCGTGAAATCCCGGCACCGGGGGAGCTATTTCTTCCCGGCCCCGGCCCCGGCCGATTTTCAATTTTTGCCGGGAATTTGGCCGGGAATTTTTGATCGAAATCGGCCTAAAACTTTCATATAAATCTTAAAATGGATTTTCAATTTTGAAAGGATGATGTCCAGAGTGCCAACTTTCAAGAGCAGTCCTTTGTTTTTCAGATCTTAAGTCCTAAAAAGTTCTAACTTGGCCGTGGATTTATTAAATTCACGGCCCCGGCCCCGGCCAAATTCCAGAACGGCCAATTCCCGGCCCCGGCAAAATTTGGACATTCCCGGCCCCGGCCAAATCCTACCCCCGGTCGTTTACTGCTTGTAGCACCGTGAACTGCACCAATACTGTCAACAGGACAGTAGTGGTAACACAGGGCGTACGTATCACAGGGCGTACGTAATACAGGGCGTACGTATCACAGTAACTCACGTACACGTTCCAAATTTTAGGTAAGATAAATTAGGCTGGAATCGTCTTGAGCTCCTGCTTTGATCCTGCTTATGGTAATTACCAACTATGTAATTAATTAATTGATTAATTTCCAGGCTGAAACACCCGTGGAGTTAGAGAAATTCTCGTGTCTGAGAGAAAACCTGACCTCGTGTTCCTTACATCGGATACGCAAAGCGCAGAACACACTTTTCAGCAAGAAGTGCGACTGTCCTGGTAACTATTTAATTTGTCTAATTCGTTCATTATATTTTATTTATTTATTTTATTATTATATTAGTTCATTTTTACATTTTTAACTAAATAAGTCGAACTTGTTAATTTGTTTGATGCCATTTTATACAGTGTAATCTTTAGTTTGTCAGCCTTTGCTTAGTATTGAGGATTTTGGGGTGTACCACAAATTTATGATGTTTAACATTGAAACGTCATTTGACCAAAAAATACCGTCCACACTGGAATCTGTTAAGATAAAAACTACAAATTCACTTAATAAATCAGTTATCTTATTATTTATTGTAATCCAACCGGATGCAACTTTTAACATGTCAACTGAATACCGCGGCTTCGCAGACGAGCGTGAACTTAATTCTGCAGCTCTGTGCAGATTAGATAAGTTAATTCTGCAGCTCTGTGCAGATTAGATAATTCGTCATAATTCGCACCATAAATTAGTATAAGCTGGGCAACTCACTGCGGGGACCAGATGTGTAATTATACTTTGTTGGAAGTTGACAGATCCTTTAGTTGCACAACTTTGCTTTGTAGTTGAGATATTATATTTGTGATAATGCATATATGGTGCACTGGTGTCGAAATAGCGTATGAATCTTAAGTAATTTCAACAGAGTCTTGTGATATTCAAGTGGACTGTGCTAGGAGCATTATATTATAAGTACGAGTAAAAGTTGATTAGATAAGACAAAGTAGCCTACTTTAAATAAAATATGTTAAGATGGTACAAGATAAGATAAGATAAGATAAGACCACCAGATTTAGTTAAATCGTTAAATTTGTAAAACAGACTAAAAACTGTGTTGAATCGAAAGATCTGTAAATCAAGCCATTATATATACATAATAGGGACATAATATTATGATTGACTAAAATATCTCAAAAAGCAGATCTCCATTACACATCATGTTAATAATTTACTTATCAAGCATGTTCTACCGTAATTAATTAATAAATTAACTAATCACTATCTCCCTACAGACGTATCTCACTACACCCCCTGCCCGTGTCCTCCCCCTGTCGACCTCCCCTACGATTTTAACTTTAACTACTGGCGACTGGACGAGCTAAATCTACTGAGTCATCACCGAGAGGTTGCTAGGCAACTTACCCTTCGTGATCACGAACTATTTGCTAATGTGAGTTTTGGGCATTCTTTAGAACCGGCTATTTTACGGCTGTAAAACGGCTGCACTAGCTTTACAGCTAATGTTATTCAATTTCATATGAGTTTCAGTTTAGAGCTAATGTTATTCAATTTCATATGAGTTTCAGTTTAGTTCTAATGTTATTCATATGGGTTTTGGTTCAGTCTTAATGTTATTTATGTAGGGTTTGGTTTACTTATAATTCAACGCAGAGAGCTTTTGGTCACGCACTTAGACTTCGACTTGCTATTACTTTAAAATATAAAATATAATACAAGTTGTGGGCACGTACAAAAATTGAATTAATATAAGTTTGTTTTAATATTTGTCTTGTTTCCAGATAACAGAAAATGATATCTTGGAGTACACCAAGAAAAGGGACCTCCCTATCTCCAATTACCCCTCCATACACGTAAGTCACTTAATTGGATAATCACTTAATTGGTCACACTGAATAGTGGTTTTATGAGCGAGTTAGCAGCCATCTGTTTCCGTTTTCCATATGGTTCCCCACAGCTAGCCTCAACCTATTATGATATGTCCATTGTCAACCAAGACCTCAATGTTAACTCACTCCCTTTACATAAAACATGAGATTACATCATGGGAATTTTGAGAAGCTTTGGCAAGCTTAGTCAGCTGAGCTGGGAGAGCCTTAACTTTCCTGCTTGGCACGCTGACACGAGCCAAGTTGCGTCAATAAATTCTCTGTTTAATGAGTTCATACATAGACTCATGAGATGTTGATTCACGCTCTTCTTCTGGGCCGCTGCGTGCTGTTTGATAGAGATTTAACTTGCAATCGTGTGGAGTAATTATTACATCGGTTAATTTCTTGATTTTGAGGTTGTAAGGTTTCCTTGCAGGGATACATTATGTATGCAGCGAATCTGTTGTAATGAAACTAGACAACAAGTAAATAGAATTTCCAGGTTTTAAAATTGATTTAAAAATTATCACATACTGCATAATCTATGACTTAAGTCCCCACCCACCTCGCCGCCGTAATGATAAAATCACAACGTCAAGAAACTAAGCCTCGTACTGTGTTTATCGATCGTACAAACAAGTTAAAAACACTTTCTAAGTTAGGGTTTCAAAGGGTTACTTAAAATCCTCCATCTCTTCGGCCGAATCTCTAAACCGTTCGAACAAGTGAACAGTCCGTGACGGAAATGGTAGGCTGCTCCAGTCTGCAGCCCGTCATACACTCTAGAATCTACGTGGTGTGTCTTCAGCTCTGCCAATCAACAATTACAAGAATTTACCGGGCTCCATTGTTAAAATATCTGAGGTATCCGGAATGTACGCTGTTATATAATATGTATCGTGTAATAGTGAGATGCATTTGCGCGGCAAAATATTTGGTTACATGAACTCAACACGGATCATAAGTTGACAGTTAAACAGAGCTTTAACTTTCGGTTTTATTCAGTGCAGACACTCAGTAGTGTTATACTCTGATCACCTTTCATAGTAATAGCGTCATAGTAGTCATAGTAGTCATAGTAGTCATAGTAGTCATAGTAGTCATAGTAGTCATAGTAGTCATAGTAGTCGGGGTATACATATCAGCGCCAATGTTTGGCCGTTCCCATGATACGTATAACCGCCCAAAATGTGCTCGAAGTATTCGAAATCAGCAGAGGAATTCAATCCACACATTTTGAGGAATAGTAGTAAGCAGTAATATTCGCATACTTTGGTTCATTAGTTTTCACACTCGCTCAGATGGGTATAACATGCCAGCTGTCTGCTCCAAGTCTAAATGGTTTGGAACAATCTGGATCAGTTTTCATGGCTACACTTTGACGATGGTAATCAACAAACTATTTCTATTTTTAGCTGACGGTGGTATGCAAAACGGACGGGCTGTTACATAAATAATATTTACCATGCCTCACGTTAAGTTGGGAGACGTAAAGTTTGCTTACTGAATACTGCCCCTTTTAGCTTTATCACCTGAATATCTTTAGATGGACCTCTATAATGTGGTGGGAAGGACCGGAGGTTCAAGTCGAGAAGTTTTATTTTAAACTTTAAGTTTAAGTCCGGTGATGATATTGAACAACATGTTGAATAGTTAACATTAACTGACTATGATAAATTAACTTAACTTTTAACTGGTAGTTAGCATGTAATTCGTACAGACAGTATAGGTTCTTGAGATAAAACATCGGGTACGCTTCATGGTTTGGTAGTAGTTAATCGTTTTCGGTCACACGTTATTCAGCTGAAAATTTTTAAAAGTTTTGTCTAAAACTTAGGAAATGATAACGTGGAATGCAAATAATACGCATATTTATAAACAAATATTTATTTGTAAATAAAGCTCATTGTACTTACTGGCTATGTTGAACAGCTTATATTCAAAACTTAAACAGAATTTTCATCAGAATTTTCATTTTCATCAGAATTTTCATTTTCTTCAGAATTCTTAAACGGATCAAACCCCCTCGTGATCCACACCTCAGTTAACCTGAAAAAGTGTAAATATAAGACACGAATATATCGTGACTGGTGAGATAACACCCAACCTTGTTTCAGCGGTGCACAGAGCACTTTAAAAAGATAACAGACACTGTGATGACGATGATACTGCAGTGTGAGCCTCGTGATATCAGGATTAAGATTCTGGAAAACTACATCGATATTACGCATCAGGTATGTCATCATGCGTGGTTTTATTACTTGTTATCTTAGACTATTTGTCTACTAGTTATAGTCTGATATTCTAGAACCTTCCTATTCTAATCTTCTTTCTATATCAACTACCGTCAAGTCAGTCTTCCGATGGATGCCCTCTCGGCGGTATTTAAGATCGTGCCAGCTTTGGTGTGATTTAAAAAACTTTTCTTGGGCTGTATTTATTTGGTTTAAGCTGATTTGTTAACATAAACTCGGTTAACTATCTCAGATATAATAGCTTTTGTTGCTCGTGACATGCTCAAACTGGCACGATTCAATAATATTTAATATGTCAAGGCAATAAGTTCAGTAGTTTAACAGGCTAGGCCATAGAATCAATAGTCAATACTGTGACTGAACGGTATTTAATGTCGTTAAATAGATCGCGCCTGCTTTTTGTTTTTATTTTCTTGGCCCCTGCCTATTTATAGTCTTTAAAGCTCGTGCCATTAACCCGGTAAACCGTAAAAACCGTTAATAATAGCATTTTTGACCGAACCAAGCTCGCACTGGCACGATTCAATTGTTAAAAAAGTCAAGGCCATAGAAACATCGTAGGTAACAATTGTAACAGGCCAAGGCCACAGATTCAGTGATATATAATACTTTGAACACTACTATATAACAAATAATTTGAGGACACGATGTAACAGAGTCGATATATTTTAATGTTGCCATGGGGTGGCAAGTCCCCATACATCGTGGTCCGGTAGTTTCATTGCGTCCTAATATAACAGGCTAGGCGGGCCTACATATTTGCCATATAATTAGCGAGTGTTAAGCCATCCCACTGCGTGTCACTTAGTGCCATGGCCGCATATATATATTTACACAATGCGGCATATTCCATTTTACTTTGTAACACCAACCTCAATATATGTTGCTGCATATTTATATAACTATTCTTTGTACAGAAGAATGTCTCAAATGTCGTTTGCGTGGCTCGTTAAATGAATATTGCATAATTATGATAATAATGTGTCCGGACGCCTGGCATTGTTTTGGCCTTATTACTGTTGTTACCGGAAGGCCATGGTCGAGTAACAGGTCTGAGGTCTAGACCCAATGGATGATAAGAGGATGAGAACCGGAAATAACTTTATAATAATGACTTGAGAGAAGTTTAACTGAATATTGGCCTGGGCTTTTTTCCAAGAATTGAGAAATGTATGGATCACCGAAACATCCATTTCCTCTACGTTATGTCACCCCTTACCACCATCCCATAATTGAACCATAACCGGCCGGGCCCATAACAGTGCCCATAACAAAACCCCCTAACAATAACAAAACCCCCTAACAATAACAAAACCCCCTAACAATAACAAAACCCCCTAAAAATAACAAAACCCCCTAACAATAATAATATTTCAGTGTGTTCTCCTCCGGAACTTCTCCGCCCTCTTCTCCATAGCCTTCTCCGCGCTAGCCTCGGCTGCTATTCGCAACCTCGCCTCCACCTGGGAAGGCATATCACCCCACCATCAGCAACTCTTCAAACAATTCCTCGAGATCACCAACCCAGCAAACAATTACAAGATATTTAGAAAACTATTGAAAACTAGCAACAATCCCACTGTACCATTTCTACAGATTTACATCGGGGAGTTTCTGACCATGAACGAGGTTAACCCAGACTATTTGAAAAAAGGGCTGATCAATCTACAGAAAAGGAGGTTGATCTACCGTGAGTTGGAGGAAATGCGGTATTTTCAGAATCGTAAATACAATTTGACTGAGATACCGGATTTGATTTCATTCTTTTTGAACTATGAAACGGGCCAGGTTGACGATTTTTATTTGAGGAGTGAGATTCTTAAAAGAAGCGAAAGAGAAAAAAGTAAAAAATCCCACCGGCGGCGGATGACGTACAGTTAAAAAAATTATTAACGAAGTTTAATTTATGTAACAAAAATTTTTTGGCTGATGTTTATGTATTTACTTATGTCAAATACTTAATCGGATGTTGCCAATGCAATGATTGATTGGGCCAGTTTCAATGGCTCCCATTCATTTTGAGATAACGTTTAAGTTCATAATGTTTTAGTTATATTTCCTAATATTTGAATTTTTGCAGAATTTTTAAACTAATTTTCGTATGTTACAAAAAATCTTTTGAATTTTGTTCTTTAAGCTGGTCAGCTTGAATAGGGTAAATAAGAAGCTATTTAAATTGTTTTACCATTTATTAGAAGTATATAAAACAGAAGTTGAGAAATGGCTTATTAAAAAAAGTTTTGTACAAACAATTATTTAACGATGCTTTTCAAAAGGTGTGCGGCTCAAAAAACTAAAAATAACTTAAGTTTTAGCAGCTTTTAACCGGTCGGTTACCTTTAATGTAAGCTAACACTAAAATACGTCATGTCGTCATATCGTCCAGTGCACATGTGTGAGCTTTGTTTTGGAAGATTTTCGTTTCGAATTCCATATAGAAGTTGTTTGAAGCAGCGTGATAGAAATTCCACAGCTTTGTTCAAACAAGAGGAATTGACCAAATATGGTTGCCTGAGCAGGTCCAGAAATATTTTGAATAGTTGGCCAAGGCCGTGTAGTGATCTAGAAGAAACACCATAAAGCGCAGGAATTATCATTTAGTTAATTCTGAGATGATCAAATAATTATGTTCAGCCATGTAAGGAGTTGGAGATTTAAGTCGCATTTTCAATTCTTGGCTCTTGCTTGCTTCCCTCATTTGGGGTCAATATCGATGGGCTCGGTTTGTGGATTCTACAATACTTGGAGACATTGTACCAAAGCATTATAGCAAACTTTAAAACAATATGTCTTCTATCAATTGACTGTTAGGAGAAACCTACAAATATTTACCACTTTTTCAACAGAGTGCACATATTTTCTATCGCCGTAGCATCCTGCATAACTGAGTTTCCCGGTTGTCAGATATTTCACGATTTCGATTAAATCCATAACGGGAATCGATCAAAATGTTTGTCATCATGAGTCATAACAAAAATGGTAGAAAATTAACCTTTTTGAGATTTGAATGTATGATTGTGCCTTTTTCAGTTTTCTCCGAAGATTGTTTTAAAACAAACATTGAAAAAGATTTGAGTTCCACTTCTTGCATGTATTGTGTAAGAAATTTTGATTTTTCAAAAGCTTTTGTTTTATTTCGTGCCAAAGGAGTGTCGGTGGCATGGAGCAGTGTTGAGTAAATAAAGATAATCTGGAACAGGTGGCAGAAAGCCTGGACGTTTGCCAAAACGTTCTTTTCCTCTTTGGAAAGCATGTTCTGAGCGCGGTTGCGCTGCGTTTTGGCGGCGCGCGCAGCAAATTTTAATATCCGCTGCAAAAACTAATATTATTGATAGTTATATTGATTTTACTCGATCAGAGGCGCCGCTTCATTATTCATGCCTGAAATTTTGTGAATCTCGATGAAGAAGAAATTGACCAACAGAACTAGGGCTACCGGCCAGTGACCGAAATTTTGACAAAGTAGAGGTTCCGTGGCTATCCTAAAATCCGCAAATCACTGAACTCTTAAATTCTTTTTTAATCAAAGCTACCTATAAAATCATCATGATTGCTGATATATGCATTGAAATTCTGTTGCTAGGCAGCGAGTTATCAGATTGGTAATTGCACGCACAACTTTGAATTTTTGGTAAGCGCAGGTGAAAAGGGTCTCGCACGTGCAGCTTTTATTTCATATCTTAAAACCTAGCAACACGTTCGTACAGCAGCCAATCTGTTAGAACTCGTTTTGAATTGATCGCTTCGCTTCGCACATTTGATCTCAACATACATCTACAACTCACATCGCTATGGTTCTAGAAAAGAACTCAATGTTACTGTTAGTGGCGGCAATATTAATCCTGATATTGACGTCATGTCTTTTTGGCGAGCGAAGTTAGTCTAACTCTAAGTGATTAATCATCATTAATTGGGGTTAGGGTTAGGGTTGGGATCCGATTAAAGGGTTAGGGTTTCGAATAGTCGTTCAGGACCAGCTAGAGAACGGGTTGAAAAAGTCACATGACAGTCGAGTGTAGAGTGATTAATCATCATCCTATTTCAGCCAGCACATTATTTTGGAAACAATCAAAAAGTTATAATACTTCCCATATAACAATTTTGTTGAAATTTGGCTTACGTAAACATTTATGTTCTACTGAACCTAAATTAGTTTGAGCGATTTCGATGGTCAGAATTTGAGTTATCAACGAATTTATACCTATTTTGTCATTTTTAGACCTCTTAATCAACGCCAATCTCTGCCAACTAATTTAGGTTCGGTAGTTAAGTATGATTGGAAGGTTCTGACAAATTTTCAGTATGATTCATGTTCAGGAACCGAAGATATGACAGAATAATACGACAAAAATCAACGAATTTCGTCAAATTACGCGACTTTTACGCCTAATTTTATTTTTGCTCCAAAAGCCGCGCACCATCAAATATGGCACCTAGGCGAAACTCCCTGATCATTCCAAAAAGGTATGACAAATTTAGTACTGTGAAAATTCTCACAGTCTTTAGAAAACAATGGTACAAAAATTTTGAAAATCCGAGCAAGTTTATTTTTATCGTGCACCCCCTACAGTAATAGTATACGCTGAGGGACTTCGTGACGTACGTCACGAGGCCACAGCTTATTATTGCAATAACGAACACGCGTTTATACACGTACGCTAGAGAGTTGGTCCTTTCGGCGATACTATTTTTTACCAGTTTGTCACAGCTGATTTAAATCTTAGCCAAATTGGCGAATAATTTTTGAGTTAACTGGTCCTAGTAAATTAACAGTGAGAGATAAAAATGAGCAGTGACAGATAAAATCAGTATCACATTTTAATGTGCTTATTGCATATTGGAGTAAATAAACAATAGTTTTTCAGCAAGCTGAGGCTTCAGCCTCAGACTTCTTTTATTCATAAGATATTCGTAGCCTCTAAAGTTTGTTTCACACAATGAGGATGCGCTCAAAATCACGTAAACAACTTTTTCAACCAACATAGTTCAAAGCGACAAATCCAATGTCACTGCATAACATGGTCCAACCCTTCTGGAACATTTTTGCGCGCACGTTATATTGTACAACTGCTCTAAATCTAATGGTATAAATTGAAATGCAGCGATGGGATAATAATTAATCACTCTACACTCAACTGTCACGTGACTTTTTCAACCCGTTCTCTAGCTGGTCCTGAACGACTATTCGAAACCCTAACCCTCTTATCTGATCCCAACCCTAACCCTTACCCAATCCTTAACAAAAGCATATGCTGAAACCCTAACAGTAACCCTAACGAGAAATTAGACTAACAATTCCTTATACAGTCATATCACGTGATCGAGACAGTTTTTCGCCTATAAACGGATTAAACGATTCAAAAGTCAAATTACAATGGTAATGTCTGACCAGATATAAAAAATTAAATTTACCCAAAAGTTTGTAGCGCGATGCACTACTGGGTCGCGCGCGCATCAAATATTAAGCAGATCGGCGAGATGCGAAGGATTGACATCGTCAATCAACCCAAAAGTCATAAAGTATATAATTATATATATACAATGAACCCCGTAAATCTTAAGAGTGAGATTCAAAATACTTAATAATTTAAATGAACTTATCTGAAAATGTTCCGAGTCATAGATTATAATTTGGCAATATTGTTAATGTTAGGAATTTGTTTGGAGGACGCTTTAGGGAATCTTCGTTCATGAGCTTTGGTAAGGAACCTTCCTAGGTCTCCGATGCACGATGGTTGTAGGGTGTGCGAAGATCTGTCCAATGTCAGAGAAGAGTAATGTTTTACTTTGTTGGGACGGAGATCTTCATAGAGAGGGCAAGTACGCAATTACAATACATGAAGTTCATCTTCGATGATTGGATCAGGGAAAGGAAGCTCTAGAAGAAGATCGAGTGACTCCACATCTGTAGTAGAACAGTGTTTGCATGCCCTATTCGAAATTTTATGTCGATGCATCTCGTCAGGCCGGGAGCATTTTAAACTTATGTCATGGGGGGTGATTCACTGATTCGGAATCAGCGTCCGAAAATACATCGAATGAAGTTGGTTTCAACTGTCGGGGGCCCTTTTAGAACAATCTCGAAGATCGACTGTAGAGTGATTTAGTACGCTTGGCAGCGATGAGCGAATTTAGCTTTCATGAAAGTTGTCGTGTGAACGTGGTTTTTGTGCATTTTTTTGCAATTGCAAGCACTGTATAGTACCTTTCAGCCCAAGTTTAAAAGTACGTACGTACAGCTATTTTTAAAGGTACGTACCGTACGTATTTCTCATCTTAGCTCCCGCGGCAGACCAATGAGAACCTTTCCGTCGTTAACTTACGGCACAATAAAGTTCTCATAGTTGTCATATTCTGGACAAAAAGTTCGAAGTGGACAAATTTTTGAAAAAAATTCAACGGACTTCAACTTGGACGGACCTTAAAATTAAATGAACGGACTTTATTTGAACGGGCATTAAGATCAACGTTAGGGCCTCCAGCGTTCAATTAATGTCCGTCCAAATAAGGTCCGATAAAGTAGTACGTTTTAATTAAGTAGGTAGTAATTGGTAGTTATAGTAGGGATAATTAGCATTTTGTTCGGATAGGTGCGGCGGTGTGGGTATTTCTTTATTCTCATTTGGTAGAGGTGCTCCTAGTGCTAATAATAAAACTTAAATTAACAAAAGCGCAAATTTTGACACACTAAGATTATCTCCATGGTACAACTACATCAACATGACCTGTTTGATACTTGAAAAGTTTTAATGCACATTTACTAGAAATTCCAATTCTAGAACTAGAAGCTTTGGATTAAGTTGCTGAGAATGGTCGTTAATTTATACTAACAAATAGAAATAAAACCACCTAAATGATTCAACAATAATAATATATTTAAATCAAGGTGTAATATTGATAGAAATTCCAATTCTAGAAGCTTTGGATTAAGTTGCTGAGAATGGTCGTTAATTAAAATTTATACAAACAAATAGAAATAAAACCACCTAAATGATTCAACAATCAAAATAACCTAATGTATTTAAAAAAAAGTATAATAGAGTTTTGACAAACAGTTATAATTTTTCAGTTATTTTGACCAACTGCTGCAATCGTGCTCGTAAGTTGTATAACAAACATATTCACACTTACGCACGGGTCTAGCATAGCAAGATCGGCGAGATCTCTTTTGTTTTATCTCCTGTTTTTCCACTTGCTTATCCAGTTTCTCCTTGTTTGCCAGAAGGAAATCAGCGAATTGATCAGCGATGCCGGACAACGTTACCCTATCTTCAGTAATGCAGCCATTCGAGGCTATTAGCTCCAGAATAATTTCCTTATGCTCTGAAATGAGAATGCAAATCAAAAATCCTACAAATAAACTTTTAACCTCTTATAGTCGTATTGTAATATCCAGATAGATACATTATTTATGAGTCGCATTGTTGTGATGATTAGAGTTCAAAATTTCTGATAATTCCGTATCAAAAATATAATTCAAAAAATACTCTTATAATACTTTCAACATGATTGTATAACAAATAATTTGAGAACATGAATATTGAATATGATCTAGTTACATTGAAACAGTGACCAGTTTCCATTACGTACTTGAAAAGAGCAGTTTCCTGGTAGTTTGGTCGCATATATACGGAATTATCAGAAAATGTGAACTCTAAACATAATCGTATTGATATAATTATATATATAGTTTACAAAAAATTTAACATGAAATTCAATTTGTCTCACCTGGGCACACGCTAAGTTCTGTCCTCTTTGCGTCGTCAGAGACGGAAGGAGGGGTAGACTGAGCCACCTGGGCACACAACAGAAAGAGGAAGAATGTATATTTCATTTTACCAAAACCCATAATCATGGGTAGAGTGGACCGCTGCCAGTGTCTCTCTTTCCCAAACAAAAGGAAATGATATTAATTTGATTGACCGTTCTCAAATGCAAAATGATACCGAGAATGAAATCGGTCGCTCGCTTTTCCCATTCAGTCACGGCTTACGAATTGTATAAATAAGTTTCGATTGATTACATCAATCAGATACTGTAAAAATATCTTTGGGTTGCGTTCGGGTAGATACCTAGTATTTCGGGGTAAGGGACAAGGGTGGTAGTTATTACTTATTGAACAAGCTGAAGTTTATTGAATCTTCATTGCCGAGTACAGCTGCCTTTGGGTAGTTCTTCTTAATCTATTACAATTGTAAATGAATGGGAAAAGCGAGCGACCGATTTCATTCTCGGTATCATTTTGCATTTGAGAACGGTCAATCAAATTAATATCATTTCCTTTTGTTTGGGAAAGAGAGACACTGGCAGCGGTCCACTCTACCCATGATTATGGGTTTTGGTAAAATATCATCTCTTTTTGATTGTAATGTCAGGGTACTTTATAAAGTCGAAATATAAACTGATATCTTCATTAATAAGGAGGAAGTTTCAACGATTTCGAAATTTTTCCTTTAAAAACATTTCCTTGTGTTTAGGGAAGCATTTCGGTCGATCACTGACTGAATATGCCACTTAATACTCATTCAAGTTGGCATTAAATTCATATATAATGACATTAAACTGTCGTGGCAAAGCAGAATTTGTTGGAAATCACGAATGAGCAAAATTGTCACCTTTCGCACGTGCAAACTTTGAGCGGACGTTGCGTGCGCATCCAATAATGAATCGCCGTAAATTTTTGCATGTAATTGTTTTATATATAGCTTGATAAGCATGCAAAGTTTCAAAGTATTTCAAGAAGAACTGTAATCACAACGGCACTCTAAAGTTGACAGAAAATGACGAAAACAGTGATTTTCAGTGATTTTAGCGATTTTCTATCAATTTGGGCGTGTCCCCACGTGTGCAACTTTTCGATTTCCAACTTTAAAACTAGCCTAATGCACAATTTATACCTATAGGAAGCAGAACTGAGCTCCACAATCCAAAGCATGGCCCAACACCAGAGAATACTAAATCGCAAAATTGACGTTTTTATAAAATAATTCTTCAAAAAAGCACAAACTTCAATGACGAATATCTTTATGAAGGAGCAAGCTAGAAAAACTTTCCGGTAAATTTTCAGAATGCTTGAACAATTATCTAAGATGAAAATTTCCTCAGATTTTGAATAAAATTACTCCTTAATGGTTTAAAATTAATTTTAAAAGTTAATACTTTGTCAAAAATCAAGTTTTAAAAACGGTTAACTTGATGACGTCATCAAGGGGTGTTTATGACGTCAAATAATTTTTTTACACAATGTAAACTAAAGTGTAAACAATTATTTGCAAGACCTGTGGTCGGAAATGGCTGTATCTTTTATACTTTTGAATCTATGGACACTTAAATACAGGCTACAATTGACTGGCAAAGCGTCTATCCCTGAATATATATATCTGTATATCTGTATGTATATGTCCCGACAATCTGTCGTAAAACAGGGGTTCTAGAAAACCCGTTTCCCGATGCTCCTGAAACCTGAAACTTTTTTTGCAGTCGATTTGGTCAACGTCTAGACGCCCTGAAAAATTTCAGATCTCTAACTCAATTTTAACATGGTTTTTAAGGCACCTGAATATGGCGATTTTGGGTTTTTTACCGAATTTCGTATAACAGTGCTGGCGAGTATTTTATGCAAATTTCTTAAAAATCTCAACATAACTATTTTTTATTCCTGTCATCTTTGACATCAAATTAGAATGTTTTGAACTAAAAATAAATCTGCTGAACGACTTCCGATGAGTCTTAATGCCTGGAAAACTCCTGCCGGAGGCGGCGGTCTTCGGCCGCCGCCTCCGGCCGGAGTGCACGAAAGAGGCTTGTAACGTGTACCAAAGGGGGTATAATAGTAAAGGGGGTATAATAGTAAATGGGGAACATAGTATACCCACAATAAATGCAACGGTCGTGCTTGCCAGCACTGTGATTTTAAATGAATAATGAGTGGTTTCAGTTGCGATACTCTCTTATACTAGCGTTATACTGGCGGTATAACGCGTGGCTCTGGAGTCTAGGGATATTACGCCAATATGCAATACGTAATGAGAATTCGGTTAAAATTGATAAGCCGAGGATTATGGGAGGGTTGTATTGATAAACTGTTTCCTGTTAACTTCAAGTGACATTCTGTTCTGGAATTTAATTTTTATTACAATTTTAACCGGGCTCAAAAACTTTTAAGTTCATTAGACTGAAGATAAAGAAAAGGTGGATGATGATCCAATTGTAATTGAAAATTACCCGAGGAATGAATATTGCACAGGGGTGTAGGAATGATTTTCTTCATGGGGGGGCCAAATTCAAAATATTTTTTGGCGCTTCGCGCCACACCCTAAATTTTTTGGCGCATCCCGCCAAATCCTGAATTTCGAGGGTAAGGGCAAAAGGAAATTGCAGCATGTGCGGTATCGCGATTTTTCACGTTTGCCGCGACAAATCGCGATTTTTCAGATTCTGGCCTCACGACAAATCGCGATTTTTTTCAGTTCTCCGCGTCAAATTGCGCATTTTCCTTTAAATCTACGGACCAAATTCTCGTTTTCTATAATTAGTATATGAAACCAATCAGTATCGCATCCACAACCTTCCGAATGTAGGCACGGACTTCAAAAAACCGAAAACAGAAAAATATATTTTCGGCTCAGAATGATCAACTTCAAGGTAGCATGAAACATGAACTAAAGTAATTTCCAGAAAAACTTTGAAAAATTTTGACTTAGAAAATTTTCGGTCCGAGTCATTCTCGATACGTACCTCTGAAAGCAGAGCTCCCGCTTCCGAGCTCGTATTGCGAAGGGGAGGCCTGCCTTCCGAGATCGCATTACAAAGGCCAAAGGGGAACCCTCGAGTCCAAAATCATATATCGAACTTCGAAAACCGAAAAAAATATTTTTGGCTCATAATGATCAGGGTAGCATGAAACATGAACAAAAGTAGTTTCCAGAAAAATGTTGACTTAGAAAATTTTCGGTCCGAGTCATTCTCGATACGTACCTCTGAAAGCAGAGCTCCCGCTTCCGATCTCGTATTGCGAAGTTGAGGCCTGCCTTCCGAGATCGCATTACAAAGGGGAACCCTCGAGTCCAAAATCATACATCGAACTTCGAAAACCGAAAAAAATATTTTTGGCTCATAATGATCAGGGTAGCATGAAACATGAACAAAAGTAGTTTCCAGAAAAACTTTGAAAAATTTTGACTTAGAAAATTTTCGGTCCGAGTCATTCTCGATACGTACCTCTGAAAGCAGAGCTCCCGCTTCCAAGCTCGTATTGCGAAGGGGAGGCCTGCCTTCCGAGATCGCATTACAAAGGGGAACCCTCGAGTCCAAAAACATACATCGAACTTCGAAAACCGAAAAAAATATTTTTGGCTCATAATGATCAGGGTAGCATGAAACATGAACAAAAGTAGTTTCCAGAAAAACTTTGAAAAATTTTGGCCAAATTCAAAATATTTTTTGGCGCTTCGCGCCACACCCTAAATTTTTTGGCGCATCCCGCCAAATCCTGAATTTCGAGGGTAAGGGCAAAAGGAAATTGCAGCATGTGCGGTATCGCGATTTTTCACGTTTGCCGCGACAAATCGCGATTTTTCAGATTCTGGCCTCACGACAAATCGCGATTTTTTTCAGTTCTCCGCGTCAAATTGCGCATTTTCCTTTAAATCTACGGACCAAATTCTCGTTTTCTATAATTAGTATATGAAACCAATCAGTATCGCATCCACAACCTTCCGAATGTAGGCACGGACTTCAAAAAACCGAAAACAGAAAAATATATTTTCGGCTCAGAATGATCAACTTCAAGGTAGCATGAAACATGAACTAAAGTAATTTCCAGAAAAACTTTGAAAAATTTTGACTTAGAAAATTTTCGGTCCGAGTCATTCTCGATACGTACCTCTGAAAGCAGAGCTCCCGCTTCCGAGCTCGTATTGCGAAGGGGAGGCCTGCCTTCCGAGATCGCATTACAAAGGCCAAAGGGGAACCCTCGAGTCCAAAATCATATATCGAACTTCGAAAACCGAAAAAAATATTTTTGGCTCATAATGATCAGGGTAGCATGAAACATGAACAAAAGTAGTTTCCAGAAAAATGTTGACTTAGAAAATTTTCGGTCCGAGTCATTCTCGATACGTACCTCTGAAAGGAGAGCTCCCGCTTCCGATCTCGTATTGCGAAGTTGAGGCCTGCCTTCCGAGATCGCATTACAAAGGGGAACCCTCGAGTCCAAAATCATACATCGAACTTCGAAAACCGAAAAAAATATTTTTGGCTCATAATGATCAGGGTAGCATGAAACATGAACAAAAGTAGTTTCCAGAAAAACTTTGAAAAATTTTGACTTAGAAAATTTTCGGTCCGAGTCATTCTCGATACGTACCTCTGAAAGCAGAGCTCCCGCTTCCAAGCTCGTATTGCGAAGGGGAGGCCTGCCTTCCGAGATCGCATTACAAAGGGGAACCCTCGAGTCCAAAAACATACATCGAACTTCGAAAACCAAAAAAATATTTTTGGCTCATAATGATCAGGGTAGCATGAAACATGAACAAAAGTAGTTTTCAGAAAAACTTAGAAACCTAAATTAAAAAGTTGGCCCTTTTTGGCCCCTTGCCCAGATTTCATGGGGGGGGGGCGATGGCCCCCCTGCCCCCCTGCTTCCTACACCCCTGATATTGCACAAACTTTAAAGATACAATTTTGCATCTGAATGATAATTAACGACTCAACAGTTAACGTGGGGGAATATGACGCATTGTTTGTTTCTAAAGACTGACCCTTTCCAGCTGCAAATTTCAAGACAGAATAGCCTGGTCAGTTATTGAGCCTATTACTAACATTG